TCTGACTGTTCCACTACCAGAACCCGGGAGAAGGAGACCTCCTAATAAGGTGTTTTCTTGGTCCCTTAGAAAACAGTGCAGCTGTTACCACTGTCTCTTCAGGGTCTGTTTGCTCGTGCTGTTCACGTGCTGTTCCCTAGAGTTCACCCAGTAGTCAGTCCGGGTGGTAGGTGTAAAGGGTCACTCTTACCCTCTTCAAGCCTGGTTTCTGATCCTGCCTCCACAGGATTGCCTGAGGGTGTGCATCCCAAGAAGTGCTTTTTGAAAGAAAACAGTAATTTAATCTCCCTGAGCTTCAGGTTACTCATCTGTAGTTACAATAACAAGAGCAACAACAATAATAGTAATTCATACATGAATTCATATAGGACATATCTGTTATGTGGAGGAAGATATGATAAGTTCTGTGAAAAATCATGGAAAACATTTATCAAGGAAGTAAAAAGAACCATATAGATATTCATAAAAACTGCGGTATGCAGCAAGCAACAAAGCAGAATCAGTTTACTGATAAATGTAGTTCTGTATCATATACGCTTTGTCATGAAAGTGAATATTGCCGGCTCCATTGTAGTGAATACTATTTACCAAAACCAGCCCGAGAAGAAGGTGATTTTGAATGAATTCCTAGCCAGTACGTGCAGACAGAGTAGATCAGTAAAAGTGGCCTAAAAGGCATCAAAATGCTATCAATGTGAATGTATAGCTGGCCACCATATAAGCAGACATATTTCAGTGAAAACTGGTACAAAGCAGAGAGCAACATCCTAAGTGTAAAGGAATTCCGTTGTTGTGCTCGTTCTTATTTCTCTGACCATGAGCCGCAAGGAACAGCTAGTAAGCCTAGAAATCCATACTTCAATTAGTATATCCACATAGAAGCAGAAGAGAGTACTTAAAAGGTATCAGGAAGGTTTTTCTATTTATCCTAAAACCTCAATTATTATCACCTTCAAGATCCAGGAAGGGGTCATCCCCAAAGACTAAAAACACCGTCATCGCTAGAATCCAACTTTTAAAAATTTAATGTAGGAAAACCCGAAGGATGCCACGAAATTGTCTGAGATAAATGTGGAGTCAGAGATGGGGCACTTGAGTTTTGCTTTTTCTTCTCGGGCAGCTTAGATCTAGAAAGAGATGGTGGCCGTTTCTCAGTGCGCGCTCTATGTCAGGAAGAAAATGTTTATAAAGATGAAAAGCAGCCTTGACTTGGAACCTACGTATCACACACAGGAATTAATCCTTCTGATTCAAGTTAGAGGATATTATTTGTTAAAAACTTATATTTTATTTTCAATGGGCAAAACCTCTACATAGTTAAAAAATGAGAATGAAGGGGCTGGCCCCGTGGCCGAGTGGTCAAGTTCGCGCGCTCCGCTGCAGGCGGCCCAGTGTTTCGTTGGTTGGAATCCTGGGCGCGGACATCACACTGCTCATGAAACCACGCTCAGGCAGCATCCCACATGCCACAATTAGAAGGACCCACAATGAAGAATATACATCTATGTACTGGGGGGCTTTGGGGAGAAAAAGGAAAAAAATAAAATCTTAAAAAAAAAAATGAGAATGAAATAAAACACTGGAAATTCTGTTGCCTCCAGCCGTCTGGATAAGCACTTTATCAATTTCTGGATTATAGGAAGTGTCATTTCTAAAAGATCTCTGAAATGTTTATATTCAAACTCTCAGGTGCCGTCCGCGTTCAGAGAGGCAAGAGAAAAAAGCAAACAAGCGAGTCTGAGTCTGAGAAGCTGCTTTGCCTGGCGATGCCCTGTTCTGCCTCACTGGCCTTCCTCGGCTATGAATGTGAGCGTTTGCTGAAGTCAACTGTGCTTCGCCCTGCTCTGAGCACGTTTCACTCTGTGCTCTTTCTGCTGCAATTGAAAATCTTTGGTTCCTTCAGCATGTCATGCCAAACCACGTCTTTTTCCTGGAGAGCTCCTCCTCGCTCTCCTCCTCATTCTTCTATTTTATCCTCCCTCTAGGTTCCTGTTGGCCTGTGCTGATGAAAACAATCCTCAACTTCCTGACCTTTGAAGACTAGTCCCCCTATAGCCCAGTACTCTCCATTGTCTCTTCCTACTTTTTTTTTTTTCACCTCATTTAGGTAGATAACTCCAAACATGGGCATATTGCCTTGTGAACAGCACTAAATTTAAAATACTACAGTTGAAATTTCAGTGGAGGGAGACCATTACAGATGAAACCTTTGGGGATATACTGCTAACTTCCTGCATCACCTAGATTTCTCTCTGTTTCTGTGGAAACACCCTCAAGAAGTCTCTGATTTCATTTCTACCTGGGTGCCCTTTAAGATTCAATATTAGAAAAGAAAAGGAGCAGAAGGAACCACAGTTGTAATATCCTGATGTGAGAGATGAGAGAGAACAGAGTTTGTGAGAGAGTCAATGACTTGTCCAAAGTCCTACAGCTCATAAATGTCAAAGTCAAAACTTAAATTAGGTCCCCAGGTTTACTTCAATACTTTCCTCCCATTATTCTCTGCTACATTAGAATCTACTGCCAAATTTAGGGGCAAAAATACATAACGGAACACTTAAAAAGTTAGTTTCCTTGCCTGACATGGCGAGAAAAGAAGAGGAAGCATCAACCGCAGATCCAAGAGATGAGGAGACGATACGAGAGGAAGTCTGAGTGGCTGCCGTCAAAGAGCGGTGTGTCCAGTATGAAGGTCACTGGTCACACTGGTCGCTTGCGATGATCCAAATTTATTTACAGACAACTCCATGGAAACCCCAAGATTCTAGCAGGTGGCAGTAGGTCTAGGGGGAGAATGATGTCACAGAGCAGGCAGTTCAAAGGTACGAGACAGCCAATAGGGCGGCCAGATTCCCCACAAGAAGATGGGATTGGGTGGAGGGAGTCGGGGGAGAGCTACAGCAGCACCTGCATGGCTGAGCTCTGGGGAGGTGACATCCTAGGAGCCACATGTGCTAGTCTCTCTTCCCCAGGCTCTTATGTTAGGGAATCCTCTCAACGTTCCTTATAGATGTTCATTAATGTAATTAACTCATAGTTCTTTGTATTCTATGAATTATACTTTATAATATATATTGTACATTAGTAATTACATGTACAGTTAGTTAATGTCCTTAGAGAGGAAGGAAAAGGACATCTAGGTTGACCTATTACCGTTGTTCTGAAATCCTACCAGGTGATCTAACGGTGAACTTACTGCAGGTTTTAAGGAGGAAAGGAAAGGATTGGCAGCTCCTTCTGTAACTTGGTGAAAGCGTAGGGTGAGGTTTGTTGAGTGCCCCTTGTGGGGAATGATGTGGTTCAAGGCTCTTCTCTTTGAGTTTCTTCTCCTTGAATCCTACCTTCCTTGGACTGGGCTGGGCCGGGTTGGACTTGCATCTCTCTGCTGCTCCCCTTTTCTTTTGTCTGCATTATAGGCCTTGTTTCTGGGACCAGCCTCGCCCTTGCATCTCCCCCTCCTGGATGTTACTTCCTTTCAATCCCAGCAGCAGAGGTCTTCTTTCCAGTGCCTGATGCTTCTGAAAATGCCATCTGCCCATTAGAAGCAGATGCCACAGAGCCAGAGACACAGCTGAGGCCAGAGCTCTTCTCTTCCAGCCTTGGGTTGCAATTCTTTTGCCCATAATTTGCTACCTCTGGCTCCTTGGGCCACACAGGCCTCCTGCCATCCCACGCTTTTATACATGAGAGGCATTCGGGGTCCTCCCCTTTCCTTCACCTCTGAGTGTATCCAGTGTGGCAGTTGCTGTAGCCTCCTCCCTCTTGGAAACAGCCACTGTAGAATGTTGGGCCTCTAGGGTTCTCTGTCGGCCATGGTTGGGTGCAAGGCCAGGCAACATGCAGAGGAGAGTAGTGAGAGAAAGAGGAGGACATTCGTGGAGAATAGGGAAGTGGCAAGGTAAAAGAGAGAGGAAAAGAGAGCTGTCTGTGGATTTTTGGGTTTCAGTGAGAAACAAGTTGACACAATTTGGCCTCATTTTGTATTAACAGAACAGACAATTCAGTATATATTTTTTAATGTCTCTGGATAGTCCAGCCACTGCTATGTACCCTAAAGAGAATAATCTTAAATATCTTTTTCTCACTTTGTTTTATGTCATATGATGTCATTTACATCATTCATTGGTATGTTGGTAGAATATAGGTTGTTTTCAAATGCTCTGGCTTTGTCTCCGTATTTTTTTTCCTGGTTGTGTTTTTAAGGATTCAACATTGGAAGACGGATCTCATGTTGTTCTCCTGATGGTTGTTCATTTTGAAGCGTCATGAACTCACTTGACATGATGGGTTTTGTGAAGAAATGTAAACAGAGTCTGTGAGAAGCACTGCGGTGTTACACTGTGCGCTCACGACTAAGGAGCACTAAGGAGCAAATATCTGCAGGCAGCGTGTCCTGGCCTGGGTGCCTCTGTTACTGTCCCCCAGCTTAGTGCTCTTCTCTCTAACCACTGTGCTGACTGTGAGACAGTGGGTGAGGGCTGAGTTACTACTGATTTGTATGTGGAGTCAGCTGGTTTGGGGAGGAAATCTGTGGCTCTAGTCATTTTTATTGGTGGCAAGCTTTTCGGATGCCTAGATGGATGTGTCTGGGGATTTTTCTAGTGCTAGTGAGTAAGAGGTGTGTGATCCAAGATACCAAGAGCCCAGGAAAGATAGCTGTTAGATGGGACCTCCAAAGACACACATTTCATTTATAGGCCTATTTGTCCTGTTATGAAATGTCAATGTTTTGGGTGATGGCAGGGGATGCTTACCCGAGAAGTAATTGTGAAGGCTGTTGCAGTGTAAAGGTATGACTTTAGTTCATGAAATTTTTTTTTTTTTTTTGAAAAAGATTATCCCTGAGCTATCTACTGCCAATCCTCCTCTTTTTGCTGAGGAAGACTGGCCCTGAGCTAACATCCATGCCCATCTTCCTCTACTTTATACGTGGGATGCCTACCACAGCATGGCTTTTGCCAAGTGATGCCATGTCTGCACCTGGGATCCGAACCAGTGAACCCTGGGCCACCGAAGTGGAACGTGCGCACTTAACCCCTGAGCCACTGGGCCTGCCTCAAGCTCATGAAATCTTTGAAGGGTTTTGCCCCTCAGCTTCCTACCTCAGATAGCCTACTTCCATGACATGAGGCTAACAACATATCCACAAGTGAGACCAGTCTCTCTTTTCTCTATGTTCCCGTGGAAATGAAGGGAATCCAGAGCTACTGCAGGTTAGGTTGGGTGGTGTAAGATTGGGGGAGCTGTGGTAAGACAAATTCTGGTACCAGTAACATGTTTACACATGAAAATATTCACTTCCAACATCCAATCTATTTAGGCAAACCCTTATTTTGGCCTTTCCTGGTTCCCAGCCTCTATAACCACTTTCTCTCCATAGTTCCAGTCATTTAACCTTAGCATGCAGCCTCAGCACCATCTTGACCTCTAAAAGAATCTTAAGTGTATCAGGAAGAACTTGAATAGCTTTAGTCCAATGCTCTGGAACTTGTCATGAAGCCCTAACCTGAGCTAAAGCCTTATTTTTATAGTTGGGGTACTGTCTTGTCCCCTAGACCCATTTCCTGCATTTTCTACCCATGGGGATAACTGAGACTTGTCTTGGAGTAACACACCCTGTCCATCTACCCCCCAGGCTGTTTCTTACTCTCGCCATCAACACTTTTTGATTTAATTAAGTACTGGAAGCCCTCAAACCCCACATGTGGGGCCCTACCAGATACTGGTGGATTTTGTTAGTGGTTTCTTAGTGGTTTGGTGCTCCAGATATCCCTTGCTCCTTTATCTTTCCATTCCACTGTCCTGCGTACTTATTAAGGCATTCTTTTACCTCATATTGGGTTCACTCCCCTCCAAGGGCCTACTCTTTGCTCTTTCCCTTACTTTCTGGAAACCCTGTTATGCCTAGGTCTGGATTTTCTTGTGGCAGCTCCAGTTGAGTGTGTTCCCATCCCAATCCTGTGTATTTTAGCTAATTGGAAGTGCAAACAATACAGCATTTCTAGTTTCTGATATATTTATGTCAAATTTTATATATGGTTATGTCTACAGATATTTACACCCTATGTAATTTTTGGCCACTACACACCTATTGGATTTTTTTTCCATACATTCCAAAGGAATATTTTATGATGCAGCACCAAACTTGAATGTGCCCAGTTGTAAGTTTGCAACTCTGCTGTGCTAACTTATGTCTTGTCTTTTTCCAAATAGCAATTTACTAACATTGATCCATTTTTAATTATCTACAAGGATTCAGAATTATAAATACTTGTGGGTTTGAACTTGGTTAGACTATGACTGTCTCACAAATGTTAAACATAGTGATCATTTTATCCGTTCATTCATTCATTTATTCCAGAACTCTAACCTTTCTCACCCTCTTTTTACCGAGCTCTCAAACGGTTGTGAGGATTACTAACAGTGTATATAAGATACTTTCAGAAATTAGGAACTAAAAAATAAAAATAACAAAAAACATTCACGATTATAATTATCTACAGTTTAATCTGGAATTGAGCACCCTATTCTGCCTTCAGACCTACTGTAGGACAATGCTGTCTTTTGCTGTTCCACGTATAGCCGAATTTAGAGTTTTTCTAACATGTACACCTCCTTGTGCTGATACTGTGTAGAAATCTTAGCCTTAAGCTGCACTCTTATCAATCTCAGTTATTGTTTTGTATTTTCTAAAATGTATATACATACCATCAACCTCTAGCGTGATACCTGGCACAGGATAGAAACCCAATAAAAGTTTCACTGTAAGTGGGAGTGTAGGTTGTTACAATGGTTTTGGAGGGTAACTAGACAATACTTTTCAAAATTTTAACTTTGCATATCCTTCTTTCCAGTAGTTCTACTTCTCGGAATTTAACAGTAGTTGTATTCATGCATGAGGATGTTCACATTGCAGTCTGTCTGTAACAGAGGACAAAACAACCTGAAAGCATCTAAAAGTCTGTCAATATTGGACTCATTATATAAATTATGGTAATTATAATCAATGGAATACTATGCCAGTATTAAAAAGAATAGAATGGATCTATGAATAAATGGACTGGGAAGTTCACTGTCTGAGGTTGATTGTAGAATACGTAGAGTACGCTGCTTTTACAGGAACTAGAGTCTATGCATATAGGTACAAAGAAATATTTATATAAAATATACACTGAGTGAAAGTAAGCACTTGGAAAGTATCTGGGAGAACCCCACAAGGAACTGGGAGGGTGGGACTTCACTTTTCATTCCACGTCCCATATTGTTTGAAATCTCATGGCGATGACAAACATGCACTCATCTGCATGAGCTGTACTACCGGCCTCCGGCGAAGGAGGGCGCTGTGGCCACCAGAGTGCTGTTTACTAACCCGGCTTCTCAGGCCGCCGGTGTGGGACGTCATCAGGAGGGGCGGTGGCGCATGCGCGGTAGTAAGGATTCTGGGCCCTACGTGGGTTGCTCTCTGGACGGTTGCGGTTGGGGATCTAGTTCTGGCAGCGAGGGCAGTGGGCTGGCGGCTTTGGCGTTCTTGGCGTTGAGTGGGCGGCATCTTCGGGCCCACATGAGCCACTGGCATGATGCCGGCGGCCGCCGCGTCCAGGGACGTATCGTTTCCCGACGTTCGTCATCCAAGAAGAAGGGCGGAAACCGCATCCCCGAAAGGTAATGTCTTGCGTCCTGGGCGTGGCCCTGCCGCCTCTTAGGCCCTGGGCCTCATCTGCTGGGGTCTCTGCCTGTGACTGTCGCCGCCAGGCACTTGGCCCGCCAACAGTAGCTGAAAGGCACAGTCTGTGATGTTCTGGTTTCTCCCCAGTCATTTAAAAGCGGAACTCTGGCCATTGCTGCTTGGGTAAAATGCAGAGGGACTGCTTTTTAGGATGGTCAGTGTTGGGGACACCGCTTAATTACCAAAACTGGAGTCCCGCTCAGTTCCTCAAGCTGTGTTGTTTTGGCATGGAAAACGTGAGTAACGAGAACTAAGTTTGAGTGAAAAAACCCTTCAGAACCACTGAACTTTCTGCCAAAAATGTTGGATTGTATCGTTTCCGGGAATCAAAACGGGCACCTGTAGCTGCCTACCGGGTCTCTTCTGAGTGCTCTTCCTCTACACGTTCAAATGATTAATAGTGAGACTTTGCTCTTATGTGCAATGAACTCGTTTTTATTCCTTGTGACTTTCCTTTCCTCCATCTCATACCTTATGAAGTCTCCTTCATTTGACCTCCTGAATGTTTTGGAATCTGTCACCCAATTTCCCTCAGCATCCTCATACAGAATGTGCCTTATCTTTTGCATGTAGGTCCTGACTAGTGTGCGTGTATCCACTGTCGTTTCCTTCCAATCCATTCTTCACACAGGAAATCTTTTTAATATGCAAGTTGGAACATTGCTCAGAAACATCACTCAAAAACATTGTTTTAAGAGTGAAAACGAACTCTTGACCCTGGCCTTGAAGAGTCTGCCTGGTCTAGAATCCTCTCTGCTTCTTCGGCCCGGTCTTGTGCCCCTTTTGCCCTCACTGTCTGTGCTTCAGATTCACTGGGTTGACCTCGGTGAGTTCTCCCTCATCCTGCAGAGGTCAGCTGAAAGATTACTTTTCAGTGTGACTCCTAGCACTAAGTGAAGTTCACAGCCCCTTTCCCATCTGATTTTCTTTTAAAATACGAACTTGAAGGTCCGCACTGATTTTATTTGATGACTTCAGTTGTATGAGAACTAAAAATAAACCATGAAGTGAAAGAATTTTTAAACGATTTCAGTCAACATGTGAGTATTGATGACACCTTAGCATTGAGGACTGGGCTGGCTTATCAGCGATACAGAAGGCCTGGCCATCTCTGGATTTGCTTAGGCCTTCTTTGTGAAGACCTTTGCTCTGTTTTGTTGCCTTGTATCTGTTTTCAAGATCTGGAACAGGAAGAAGGGGAGAACAGGTGGTTACTAGGTGGGGTTGAAGAAGGGGAGCAGCAAGATGCAAAGCAGAGAGCAGAGGGGACCTGCTGTGTGGGCTGTGAATTCCATTCTCAAGGAGTCCCATGTGCAGGGAGACAGGCTAACATCAAATTTGGCTCACAGAAAGTGTATTAACAGGTGGAAAGACTATCTCGCAGTTGGACAGCGGATGCCTGGGACTCGTTTCATTGCTTTCAAAGTTCCTTTGAAAAAGGTAAGCAAAAGTTGATTCAGTATTCTTTCAGAAATCTGAATTCACCATGTAGATCTCTGGTCCTGAGCCATGTCTGACTCCATTTCCCCTTTTTATAGCAGATACTTTGTAATAGCCCCTTTACTTTCCTGAAGTGAAATTCATAGATATATACAACCTGCTTCCACACTTAAGTTTAAGCGAAAAGAAACTCAGCATAACCCTCTAACTATAATATAAAGGATAAATAAAATAAATTAATTTAGAATAAAGTAATATGTATTTACATTTCCATATGTCAATGTTTGGGCATGGCTTTACTAAAAATAAAGGAATTGTCAGTTGCTTGCGCCATGAATGCCAAAGCTGCCCGTGCTCACTGATCTGAGTGGGTATGTTGCCTTAGTGGCAGGAGTTTCAATGATTGTGAGCTGTGCTTAGTAGATTTCCAAAGAAAACAAAGTACAGTGTTCTCTTGGATGATAAGGTGACAGCTATCCTGGAAATTCAATGTCCATGAGAACTGCGAAGAAACCCTTTGTGTTTATTTGTGAAATGGATTAGATTCTAAGGCTTAGATACTTATGAACAGTTGTTTCATGTTGAATAGGATATTCCAAGGTCATCCAGGTGTGGGACACATTTGTGGGACTGTTCTGAATTTGGCAAGATGTCTGGTCTTCATGACCCTCACTCACTAAATGCCAGTAAGACTCCTTCACTCCCCTCATTATAGCCAAAAAAATACCCTGGATCAGCAAGGTCAGAATTTCAGCATGGAAACTCAGAAAAATTGTGTTTCTGGTTTTTTTTTTTTTTTTTTTTTTTTTTAAATTGTGTTTCTGTTTGAAGTAAGAAAGGAATAGGTGGGGAAAGCATTTGACTGCCATAAAAAATAGGAGAAGAGATTCCATGTCTCATTACCCTGCCCAGCACAGTGTGGATTAGTGTCAGGAAGAGCCCACTTTGAATGTATCGGGAATTTATTTAATTTGTGTCTCATAGGTCGGGGGTGGTTTTTCACCTACTCTGTCAATTCTTCTGCATCTCTGGACTTAAACATTAGTGATTTCATAGATAAACAAATAGTTCTGACTCACATCTGGCAACACCAAGCTTAGTGTTTGCCACATCGTAACTACTTCCCAGTCTTTGTTGAATGAGTGAACTGATGGCCCACCCACATTGGCGGTGCCTGTGAATTTCCTCCTATATTCCTCCTCCTCTATGCAATTGTCCTAAACGCTCAGTCCCTGCTCCACGGCCTCTACAAGGGGATCCTGAGGTTCCCCGGGGTCCCTGCTTAGCCCCTTTTCTGCAAGGACATCAGCAGGGAGAAGCAGGAAGACTCTTCAGTCTCCTTTCCTCCGCACAGCCAACATCTTTCCTGTGTGACGTGGTTATAGGAAGCCTCTTCTAGTTCTGTGTGCACTCTTCAGTGTTGGGACTGTTTAAGGCGCCATCAAGGGGATTGCGAAGCTGCAGGGCCACTCCCAGTGCAGTCCCTGTTCACGCAGTAGAGGTAGGGAGATGAATGACCCCTGCGTGGCAGTGGAATGGGACAAGGTGTCCTGGGTGTTTGAGGGAAGTCACCCAAGGCAAAGCTGCCTCAGTACCTGGCAGTCGAGTGTCAGGCACAGTGGACTGTCAAGTGGCAAATGATGTGTCACAGAAATGCCACAGCAGAAATGCCTAGGAATGGAAAGGAGGGGGAAATGACAACAGACAGGGTTAATCAAGGAAGGCTTCCTAAGGGGTTTGTGACTAAATGAGTTACCTCAGGTTGGCTGTTGTTCACATAGCTGGAGATGGTCATGATCCTCCAGCTCCAAGTCTGGAAGAAACTGACAGGAGAGATTGTACGCCTTGTTGTAATTAATACAGTCTTCAAACCTTTCGCAGTGTTCGGTGGAAGACTCAGCATCGTAGATCTGTCAGATCTGCCTAAGTTAATTTGTAAATTTAACATCATCTCATATCATCTGATTCTAAAGCTCGTATAGCAAAAGAAACTTACATAGCCAGGAAAATTCTGAAAAAAAAGAGCAGTGGAAGGGGTTCATGTAGCCGTACCAGAAATTAAGCCACATTAGAAGTGTGGCTGGAGCACAAGGGATTTTTAGGGCAGCGAACCTAATCTGTCTGATACTATAAGAGTTAATACCTGTCATTGTACATTGGCCAAAACCCATAGAATATACAGTACAAAGAGTGACCCGTGATGGGAGCTATGTACTTTGATAGTCTTGTGTCAATGTTGATTTATTGTTTCTAACCAATGGAGCACACTGGGTTGGAATATTGATGGTGGGGACGGCTGTGTAGGGTGAAGGAGAGAGGCTGTGATCAGGAACTCTCTACTTTCTGCTCAGTTTTACTGTCAACCTAAAACTGCTCTAAAAGCTAGTCTATTAATTAAAAATAGAAAAAGTTTATTGGTGGCACTTGAATAACCACAGATCAGTGGAACAGATTATATAAATAAGACAAATACATAAAAGAATATTTATCAATGAAAGCCATCCTTTCTATATATAGATCTTTAACAAGGATTTATAAGTGCCTTTTTATAGGCACGCCCCTTGGAGCTGGAGGTACAGTGGTGGACAACATTGATGTGGTCCCTGCCTTCTGGGAGTTTACAGTCTGGTTAGGAACCCACATGAAACAAATAGACGCAGAAATAAATCTGTAGATGTTAGCTTATTTTCTTCCCTCTAATCTCTGGAAGAAAAGATTGTAATATAGCTCGTAACTTCCAGAAGAGTGGAAACTTTCCTCTGAATCTCATTGTATGTTCGCGTCACAGGGCTTGAATGAATGGATAATAAAAGAAAGAATTTTAAGCACACGTTTGCTCTTTGTTATTTCATTCTCTCTGACAGAATTTTGAAGAGAAGCTTGCTCCAGAAGAATGTTTTTCCCCCTTAGATCTTTTTACAAAAATCCGAGAGCAGAATGAAGAACTTGGACTGATTATTGATTTAACATACACTCACCGCTATTATAAACCAGAGGTAAATGGAACCCTTAATTGAAAAGAATCTTCTTCTTTCTGATACTCTCATAACTCACAGTAATTCACTTTTCTAATTGCTATCTCGAAATGAAATTAAAGACATGACTTGAACTGTTATCTTTGGCCATAGCCTCTGTGTGTGCTTAAGAAACTCTGTAAGCTTCCATGTTCTATATTTTGAACATAAAGTAAACTTTTAGTGAGAAAAGTAGTAGCCTAAAAGGAAAGAAAAGGAATCCATGATGTCTTTAGTACTTATTTTGAGTAGTTGTCAGAGCACGTGTAAGAATCTCGATAGAAGACAGTTCTCTAAGTTTTATGCCTTCCTTTCCCAATGTCTTTGGATACAGTAGAGAAACCTGTATGTTCTGTTGGCCTGTGTGGCATTATCAGTGGGAAAGAATTATCCTTCTTCTGGCAGTTCCACAGCCTTGGGAAACAATAACGCCTAATATTTGTTGACATTTATATGTATAGCATTTTGCAGTTTAATTAGTACTTTCACATACGTTAACTCAGTTAATCCTCACAACAGTCCTTTGCTGATGAAGTGGGAGTGGTACTAAGGTCTCCTACTTAGTGCTTCCTTGCACTAAGCTCAGAACATAGATGGTTACGATTACTCATTTCACAGATGATGAAACTCAGGCTCAGAAAAGGAAGAATTGATCTTTGAACTCAGTTATTCCTCTTGTTTTTTTTTTATTGTGGTAAAATATGAATAATATTTATCATTTTAACCATTCATAAGCGTACAATTCAGTGGCACTAAGTGTATTCATGATGTGTAACCATCACCACTGTCTATATTCAAAACTTTTTCATCATCCTTAACAACAGCTCTATAACCATTAAACAATAGCAACCCCATTTCCCTCCCCCAGCCTCTAGTAACCTCTATTCTACTTTGTATGAATTTGCCTATTCTAGGAAGTTCATGTAAGTGGAATCATAAAATGTTTGTCCTATATCTGGCCTTCTTCCCTAAACATGTTTTCAAGGTTCATCCATGTTACAGCATGCAGCAAAATGTCATTCCTTCTTATGGCTGAATAATATTCCATCGTGGGTATATACCATATTTTATTTATCCATTCTTGTGTTGATGGACACTTGGGTTGTTTCCACCTTTTGCCTGTTGTGAATCATGCTGCTGTGAACGTTGGTGTGCAAATATTTGTTCAAATCCCTCCTTTCAGTTCTTTTAGATGCATAGGTAGGGGTGGAGGTGCTGGATCATGTGATAGTTGTATGTTTAACTTTTGAGAAACTCCCAAACTCTTTTCCACAGTATCTTCTTGTTTTTAAACATGTATCACAAAGTTGAAACATGTACAGAAGGAAACGTAATGCTGTGGTGTCATTGTCCACCCATGAACTCATCCAGTCTTAATTTTTATCAGCTGATGGCTGTCATGTTTCATCCTTACCCCTCCTTGTTTCCCTCATTCCATAGTATTTTGAAGTAGATCCCAGATATCATCTACTTTCACCTGTACATTTTTGGTATGCATTTAAAATATGGGACTTTCATTTCCCTCCTTTTTTTTTTTTTTTTTTTTTCTCCTGCTGAGAAAGATTTGCTCTGAGCTAACATATCTGTTGCCAGTCTTCCTCTCTTTTTGTATGTGAGCTGCCATCACAGCACGTCCACTGACCAGTGGTGTGGAGCCTCGTCCCAGAACCAAACCTGGGCTGCTGAAGCAGAGAGCACCAAACTTAACCACTAGGCCACCAGGGCTGGCCTAGGACTTTTATTCCTTAATGTCATTTTTTACTATTAAATATCCAGTCAGTGGTCAAATTTGCAATTGCCTCCTAAATGTCATAAAAATTGTTTTTAAGGAGTTCTGTTTAGATCCAAATAAGGTCCACAATTTTCATTTGGTTGTTAGGTCTCTGGTGTCTTATGTAATCTTTAGGTTCTCTCTCCTTGTCTCTCTCACTTTCTTTTTTTCCCCTTTAATTTTGTTTTTTGAAGAAACCAGATAGTTTGTCCCTTCTAGATTTTGATGATTGCATCCCCATGTGTTACTCACATGTTCTCCAGTCCCTTTATTTCCTGTAAATTGGTAGTTGGACGTAGAGGCTTCATCAGATTCAGGCTTGGGATTTTTTTGGCAAGACAGTTTCACAGGTAATGATGTTTCTTCCCTGGAAACACGTAAGTGATGTCTCTTTTTGTGAGATTAGCAGTCCCTGATGACCCATACCTGCATCCATTAATTCATTTGGGGCTTCAAAAAATGGTAAATTCTATTAAAATTGTTTTTTCATTTATTAGCTGGGTATTTTTCTGTCAAGAGTAGCTCCCCTTATCAACTGTTTGGTTACCTAATTGTGGAGGCATGATTCTTTCCTTTATTTAACAGTTTTCAAGATGAGTTGATTCACCAATATCCTCCAGTGGTGACCAGTTAGATTTTGTTTTTTTATCTTTCGTATCATTACGGACTCCACTGCAGTTATTATTTTTATTCAGGCACAAATTGAGACCCTATCTTTCGCCATTTGGAGCTTCTTAATTTGGTTCCTGAGTCCTTTTGAAATGAGATGGCATCGGTTGTTTCTTGGCTTTTCCAGTGGTCAGAGCTAGGAAGTGTCTTTGTATGTTTGTTTTTAATATAAAATGTATCATAGGTTCCTACTGATACTCTGCATTTAAATTCAGAACGACGGGATTTTCCGTTCACTTCTTCTGTCTTTATTGGTAACTACTTTCTCCTACCCCAAGTACACCAGTTCTCATCAGTGCCTGTAATTTGCTCTATCTCACAATTTAAATTTAAGTTTTTCTGACTCTATTTTACTGTTCTACTTAAATCACAGCTGCTTTATGGCCCTTGAAATTGAAAATATTGGGTAGAACTAGTTAGACAGTTTCTTGTTATATATGCATTCATTGACATAGGCCTTGTTGTCAGTTTGGTATGCCAATTGACTATCCATTCTCTAGTTTTAGTGAAAATCAGGGATCCTCCTGGTTGAAGCAGCTTTGGAAGAAACGGCTCTTTTATCAGAATTACCAACATACTAAATTTATTATAATCTCTTGGTATTTATTCTCACTTCTCTAGTTAATTTTTAATTCGTTCCCTACAAATGAAATAATATATATTTTCATGGTTTTGCCTTATAGGACTTGCCAGAAACTATTCCTTACTTAAAGATTTATACGATCGGGCATCAGGTACCCGATGATGACACTATTTTTAAATTCAAATGTGCTGTTAATGGGTTTTTGAAAGACAATAAAGATAATGGTGAGTTTTTTTCTTACCTGAACTTTGGTATGCATTTTGAATGGGCTTGGGAATTTTTAATATTTTTAATAGTTTTAACATTAGGCCTGTTGTTTTTGATAATGTTAAGATAGAAATGTCAGATGGTGCTAACAGAGTAAGATATTTTTCCTTTTTATGGTCACAGAAAATTTAATTTGGAAAGTGATTTTAGTGAGAAATATAAACTGAACTAGCTCACTTGTCTCTTTTTTAAAAATTTGGATGGGAAATATATAATAAAAATTTCTTGTCTTATTAACTGGTTAAGAGATGAGAGGTGGAAGAAAAGGTTAAGAATCTCAGGGTCTTAGCATGTATAAAAGAGACAAGAAAAGGCAAAGGTTTGGAGGGAGACAGACCCCTAGAAGGAAAACACAACAGAGTAGAGCAGTGGAGTGGCTCCTCACCATAAATACGTAAGATGTTGCTGTTGTTTTTCCTCTTTGGGTGCAAGTGAGGAAGGGCACTACTGCCTCTTATGCTTATTCTCAGACAAGAAGAACTTAAAAGGCTGATGTTTTCTTGTTCCTGCTTTAAGATCCACCTTACTCTGTTGAAAATAGATCTTAATAGCTTCTGAATTTTAAGGATCTGGTTGCCTTTTTCTGGCCTCTAACTATCATAATATGGTATTTACCATATTATAAGACTAAGGAATCTTTTGTCTTTGGAAAGCCACTGACCCAAAGGACAAAGTGCCCTCTTTCTCAGTTTAGCTTGGGGAGTGTACAGTTTATTAACTAAATTTGACAGATACTAAATATTCCATATATATGTAAAACAGGGAGTAGGGGAGAAAGAATAGAGATGGAAGTGAGAAGATAGGAGATGGGAGGCGAGAGAGACAGGTAGGAATTTTAAGATAAATTTTCAAACTATAACCTGGTCACTTAATGCCAGCATCAGCTCTTAAATATCTTAAGCCCTGTTCACAGATCTTCTCTGTACTTTAACTTTAAAACTTGAGAGGCTTGGCCTTGCCTGTCATAACCATGGCATCTACAGAGAGGTAAATTATTTGATTTGTACCAACTGTACTCACAGAGACGTTGCCTCTTAAGACATCAGGGTGCAGCGGCCAGCCTACTCTCTGCTTCCAGGGCCCTTTGTGTGGAACTGTTACACACTGTTCCAGCTGCTCGTGAGAGCCGGAAGATCCTGATGAGTGCGTGAGAACATGTTTGTAAATCCCACTTGTTCACGTTACACCGAGTGTAGTCTGTTTTGTAGGCCGACCCACACATGGGTCATCTGCCTACGTGTGGTGACTTCACTGTGCTCTCTGCTATAGCAGCCTCAGGACCTGCTTATGATGTGTTCTGGCTGCCTTTGCTACAGGCCCTCACACGAGTACCAGGCTCACTGATGAAGAGGAGGACACTACACTATCTACTCCCTAGAACTGGGAGACTCAGAAAATAAACTGATTTCAGTAAACACTGAAGCCTTTTAGGTTTCTTCTTAGGACACAGGGCTACAGAGATGAATAGTAGTCTTTGTTCATTAGAAACTTAAAGTTACCTAGGAGGATAAACATGTAGTAACTATAAGACAGTGGGTTAATTATAAGAAAATAATTAAATATAGCAGGAAGCCTGACTGAGGAGACAGCACTCGAGCTGGATTGGGGGAAGAGGATTTTGCAAGAATGAGGGAAGGACAGAGCAGGTATTGGGAACAGGTACAAAAGGCACCGGGCTTGAACTTGTGACCTGGAGAGGCAGCCTCTGGTGTGACTAGAGGGTACTGTGAATGGGCGTTGAATTCATGTGTTCATTTTCAACAAATATTTATATAACACCTTCTAAGTTGAAGGCACTGTTGTAGGAAGTAGGAATAGAAGAAAATTCTTGTTCTTATATCCTTTACATTCTAGTGTGGGAGAGTGATAAATAAGTAAATATATGGAATGTCAGATGGTAATGCTTTGGAGAATAGCAAAACAGGATAAAGAGGTGAGGGAATGTGGTTGGTGATCAGGGAAGGCCTCTCTATTAAGATGTCTTTTGAGCAGAGCCTTAAAGGAAGTGAGGAACCAAGCCATTGGCTATCTGGGGGAGCTGGGGATCTGGGGAGAGGGAGTGTTCTAAAGCAGAGAGAATAGTAGCTGCAAAGTCCCTGAGGCATGCCTGTGCTCAGTATGTTTGAGGAATAGTAAGGAGGCCAGTGTGGCCGGAGTGGGGAGAGTGAGTGAGGAGAGAGCAGTAGAAAATGGGATCAGAGAGGTTGGCAGGGGGCAGGAGGGAGGTGGACCATGTAGGTCCTTGTGAGTCATAGTTCAGATCATCGTGGACTTACAGTTCAGTTAGAGAGAGAGATTGATATCTATAAAGAGTTTGAAATGCTATGCTAAAAGTTTGGGCTTTATGCTATGCTAAATGGAGATTGTTTTTAAGCAAAGGAGCAACCCAGCCAAATTTGTATTTTAGAAAGATAACGTCTTCCACGTGGAGGATCAATTGAAATAGAAGAGATTACAAGCAGGGAGGTAGTAATCCAGGCAGGAGAGGACAGTGCCTTCCTACGAGACACCACCTAGTCACAGACATAAATTTTGCAGAAATCAACTACATGTTGTTTTTTAATTTATTATTTAATTTTTGAAATACTATGGCATTGCTGGAAAACTCTTAGACTTGATTCTAGCCTTTGTTCTAATTTCCTGCTGTGTAGCTTGGGTTTATCTCCAAGTCTTGCTTTTTCATTGTAAAATGCGAACAGTGCTGTTTACCCGAGTACGTCACAGGGCAGAGAGACCTGCGGCCTATGAGGAGTGGCAAAGGGAAGATGGAATGGAAGTGTTTTGGGAACTGCAGAGTACTACAGACACTCTTTATTCTTTTTAACATTCAGTATTAAAAGTGGAGGCATTTCATTTGTTTCCCTCAAAAACAAATTTCATTCTTCTTATAGCCTGTTTTTTTTTCACTCCCTTTTTCTATAATTAAATCAGTTACTGATGGGCATTCTATATTAGACAAATGGGTTAGTCTCAATGCAGTTTCAGCTGTTAGTACCTGGCCAGGCCTTCTTCAGTTTACATTATCCTGTCCGATTGGGGGCTATGCAAAATTCCCCAGAAACAATGAATTTTGACTTTATGTTAGATAATTCTTTATTGTATGTTCCTAAAAGATCACATTCCTCTTCAGAGTTATTCCTTTTCAGGGTAGTGGTAGTGTTGTGGTAACTGATAAATGTACTCTTCAGAAAATTGTGTAATTTGTATAACTGTTTCATTTGTTTAACTCTGTATTCCCTGTTTTACAGACAAACTTATTGGCGTCCACTGTACCCATGGTTTAAACAGGACTGGCTACCTCATCTGCAGGTGAGTTGCCAACCCCGAGAGGCAAGGCCAGGTTTAAGTTGTTTCATTTACAATAGTAACGTAAGCTAGTTGCAAAAAATGAAGTCAGTGTAGAAATGTATAAAGTAGAAAGCAGTCTTGACCCCCGCCAGAGATTACCACCGGTAATAATTTAGTACATAGTTTTTCAGACTTTAAAAATGCATATATAAGCACATGCATGTAATGAATGGTATAATATTTAGACATTCTAATCTAATATATGGTGGACATCTTCCTGTGAAAGTATTTGGAGACCCTATACTTTTTTTTTTTTTTTAAGATTTTATTTTTTTCCTTTTTCTCCCCAAAGCCCCCTGGTACATAGTTGTATATTCTTCGTTGTGGGTCCTTCTAGTTGTGGCATGTGGGACGCTGCCTCAGCGTGGTTTGATGAGCAGTGCCATGTCCGCGGCCAGGATTCGAACCAACGAAACACTGGGCCGCCTGCAGCGGAGCTTGTGAACTTAACCACTCGGCCATGGGGCCAGCCTGACCCTATACTTTTTTAAAGGCTGTGTTGTTCCTTTGCTTATTGATGAACGTAAAAGTCAGGAGTTTTTGATGTGATAAAACATTGAAGTAGTGAACATTCCTATATGAACATATTTGAATATATGTGCTGTTATGTCAGAGATAATCTTCCTCAGAATGGAATTTCTGAATCAAAGAGTTGACGCCCCTATGCTTTTTCGTGGATGTTGCTACCCTGTACCAGCTCACGTTTGTTCACTTGGAAAATATTTATTGAGCATCTGCGATGTGTACACACTGTGCTGAGTGCCAGCAAAAAGACTCGTGAGACTTTGTGAGGAAGGAGACTTGAGCTTTCTGAATCCTAACAGTCTAAGGAGGGAATAGATATTCAAGAAGCCCACAGATACTTATAGAATTACCACTCTGACAAGTGCCATGAAGGAGGGGGACAAGGCACTGTGAGAGCATACTAATAGGGAGGACTTGAGCTCATTGTGGAGCTTAGAGAAAGTTTCTGTGGGTGTTTGAGCTGATGTCTGAAGGATGAGTAGGTGATAACCAGATGGAGACATTGCAGGGAGAATTCTGGGCATAAGGAACAGCAAAGACACTGTAACGAGAGCATTGCTGTGATGGAGGAACTGGCCAGGGAGGCTAGGCTGTGGGGGAACTAGGGGTAGGAGCTGGATCATGCAGGCCTGGGTTTAAGATTTTATATTTTATGTTAAGAGTAACAGAAAATCATTGAACTTTTTTAGTTGAGGGCAAATGTGTGGAACATAATCAAATTTGCATTTTCAACCTATCATTTTGCTAGGTGGAGAATACACTGCGGGGGGAAAGAGTGGAATCAAGGAGACAAGTTAGGAGGCTTTTGTAGAAATCGAGGCATATTGGTGGCTTGGCCCAGGGTGTGGTGGTCACGTTGGTGGAAAGATGTGGACATATTATAGACATATTTAGGTAATATCATTGTTGGGACTTGGTGGTGGGTTGAAGACGAGGGTAAGGAAGAAATGGCTGACAGTGATGGTGATTCCTGAGTTTCTGGCCCGTACAGTTGGTTAGATAGTATTTTTTAGATATGATATTAATATTTTTCCCAATTTGTCTTTTGCTATCTGTTAGTTCCTGATCAATACTCTGTTGGTTAAGTAAGTCACCTGTCTTCAGTGTACAAAGCATTTTGATCAAACATGACTATTGTATTTTATCAGATATCTTTTTAATGTCTGCCAGTTTGATCCTGTATTTTCTTCTCTTTCATTTATTAAATTGTTATATTAATGTAAATAATTATATTATGGATTTTCTAAAGTTGGTTCATCCTTGCATCCTTGGAATTAAGGAGTTTTGTGGTCATGGTATATCATTCTTTAATAATTATTGGATTAGATGTGCTGATGTTTTCTTAGGATTTTTATATCTATATTTGTAAGTGAAATTGGACCTTTTTTGAAAAAACCTGATTTTTTCTTTTTATGTATAAATGACTCAGATTATGTTGTTTTGTTAGGTATTTGATTGATGTAGAAGGCATGAGGCCAGATGCTGCAATTGAATGTAAGTGTAAGGGTTGTCACTATTTTTCTCTTTTTATAAAAGTTGAAAGTGAAATATAGATGAATTTCTCAAGTTTTGGAAAAGAAGAAAAGTTTGTAATTCATTTGTTTTAACATAAGATAATCTTTACCAAAAGTTTATAAAGGAATATACCTAAAAATAGTGAGATCTACCAGCTTGGCTCATTAGTTAGTGGAGTTTAGCTTTGATCTGCTTTCTCCGGGAAAAATTTGCTTTTTGTACAGTTATTTCTAACAGTTCATCCACTCCTCAGTATTCAATAGGTGCCGGGGACATTGCTTAGAAAGGCAAAACTACATTGAAGACCTTCAGAATGGGCCCATCAGAAAGTAAGTTGCATTTTATATGTGAGATTTGTGGTTAGGGAGATGTGTTTTTATATCATTTATGTTGCACATATCCATTCATCTTGTAGCTTGTTTACTTGCTCTGGGAAACCTAAATAAATAGGAATAGGGGAAGAATGGGATTGTTATTTTCATGGGCCAAAATATAGTCACTAAATTGGCTACTAAATTTGGAATAATTTTAATAATTATTGTAATATTGTGCGGAAACATTCACTTTGAGGAATTGGGATTCCAGTGTATCCAGATCAAGTGGTTCTGAAGACTTGACACATATGATGGAACCAGTGCACACCTCTAATAAGTTTGTTAGCCAAGGACCTAGGTATGAGCTACATCGAACCCAAGGTTACCCAGTACCTTCTCGGCATTTCCACACCCAGACTCAAGATTTGCAGCAGTCAGTAAGGTATTTCTGCTTTCTCTTTTTCTAGAATTGAAATAGAAATTAATATTATAAATTAGTGCAAACACATAATGGTGATGAGAAAGTGATGTTTTCTTGCTGATCACTGTCAAACAGGAAGGGTTGTTTGCTCCATATTTTGCACTGAGGGCTGGAAGATCAAGTATAGGATGGGGAATATGTGACTTTTCAGAGGCAACTGGGAAAAGGGCTTAGAAATTTTCATTGATTCTAAACTTAGTTTAAGCCAGCTATTTGATGTCACTATCAAAAAGGATCTTTCATTCTTAGGGTACATTAATAATGGTATAGTTTTCAGAATAAGGAAGGTTGTTATTTAAAGAGTAAATACAAAGTATAGGAAAAATAGTAAAATTCCAGTAGAGAAGTTTGCAAAGGATTTGAAGATAAATCACAAAAGTATTTTCACTTTGAAAATGAGAAAAACCTCAGTGCAGTTAAAATAGCAAGGTACTGTTTTTTGCCTATTAATTTAGCAACAGTTTTTGATAAGGCAGTCCAGTGTAGTGGTGGTCAGACTAGACCTGGGTTTGCATCCTGGCTCTGGCATTCACCCTCTATGTGATCTTGGGTAAGATCTCTAAATTTCTATTTTCTCATCAGTCAGATGGAAATTTTAATAATACGTGCCTCATAGGGATTGTTGTTGACTATGACATGAGTTAATAAAGTACTTTAGCACGTTGTAAACACTTTCAAAAAGATGGTGACATTTTTAGAAGATGTAAACATTTCAAAAAGATGTTGCTTGTGTTGCCAGTGGCACTGAAAATTGGTGCAGCCCTTGTGAAACATAACTTTAATAGCCAAAAATATGCTCATACCTGGTAATTCCATGTTGAGACTAAGGAAATATTTCAAAATATGGTAAAAGCTATATTCATTCGGTCATTCAGCTCATTTCTCAAACTCCCTCCTATGTATCAGACACTGGACTAGGTGCTCAGGATGCCGCAGTATATGTTCTGAGATGTTAATCACAGCATTATTTATAGTAGTGGGAAAATTGGTAGTGGCTTGCATTTCTAACAATGAAGAATAGCTAAGTAAATTATTATATCCATACTATGACATTTTATAAAGCCACTGAAAGTGATAGCTCACTTACAATAAGTGAAAATAACAGGTTATGATTTAACAGTCAAAAAAAGATGTAAAGGAAAAAGACCAAAGGAAATAGTAACCAGTTGAGTTAGATTAAGTGAGATTGAGAGTTTAGGGGTGGGGGGGGTTCTTTTCTCAGATTTCCAATTTTTTTTGTATAATTACATTAGATTTACTTTATATTATCTTGCTTTTGAAACAATTCAATTTAAATCTTAATTTTCCAAATTTGTTGCATGTACCATGGTTAGAATTTCTACACTTTACAATTAATGTATATATGTATTTATAAAGGGAAAGCAGTTTTCTGTTTTCAAAAATAAATAGCTTATTCTGGGTTATGTCAACCCCACCATACTTGGAGAGAAAGTGTCTGATTAGACTAGTACGGGCATGCATTTATCTCTATAGGGAAAGGTAAATGGCTCCTGGGAACCTACTGTGTGCCAAGGCACTGTGGTAGGTAATTTAAATATATTGTCTTAATTTACCTTCAAAACAACCCATGAAGAGGGAAGATATTATTAGCTCCATTTTATAAAGAACTAAGTAATCCAAAGATTAAGCAGTTTATCTACCAAGGTCATACAGGTAGAAAACAGCAGAACCAGTGTATCTGTGTATTATTTTATAAAGCTTATTATATATTTTATTAAAACTAATAATAGTCTATTACCTTTTGTTTCGTTTAAGAAAATTTTCACAGAGTCAGAACATTTATCGGAGAGGCCGTATCCCTCCTCCTGGGCCTCCTGGAGAGGACTATTCACAGAGGAGGTACTCTTGGAACGCAAAGCCAAGTGCCAGGCCAGCAGCCCAGAATGAAGGCTGGTATCCTGGCAGTTACTACCGACTTCCGTACCCAACCCACTGGGGATGGACCGAGTGACACACACCTATCCTGGAATCAATCTGGAGTCAGAGCAGGACTGAAGACCGCGGAAGTGGCTTTTTATAAGATCAGGTCAAATGAGGTTTATAATCTATTTTATTGCTCCCTTATGTGTTCAAGATTAAGGAAAAATTATATTGATACTTACCTCTTTGCTGATAAATCTGTAGTATTTGTAACAGTGAAGGAAATGATCTGTCATTCCAGTCTTAAATTTTTTTAAAGGAAGATATTTTAGAACTGATAAAGTAATAAAGAACTTCCCTTGTAAATTATTTTTTAAAATTATGTCTTTTTCTATGTATTTCCTTCTGACTAGATTTGTGATATGAGCGTGTGTATGTGCAGAAATTTTTATTGTTTTTGCCATGTTCTATTATTGACAAAATCATTAAGGGTATCTTTTTTTCCTCCAACTGTTCGAGGTTTCTATTAAAATCTCCCTAGGAGACAACAATCTCTTTGAAACCAAATCACTATTTGTAATTGTAGTATTTTTGTGATTAGACATTTCTTTCTTTGGCCAGTCTGTTGTGGGATTTGACCAACTTGCTTTCACTGAACTGTCAGATATGCCATCTAACACAAGAAGGGATAAACTTTTAGGGATTGATTGTCAACTGGGCAAGAGAGACTGACTGATAAAGCAAAATGCTGGGCAATTTACCTGACAGTTATCACCTGGGTAGAACTATTCGGAAAACTTGAACACATTTACAGACTATAAAGGTTGCTTAATGAACAGAACAGGAGACAACATTTAAAGCCTGGGCTATCTGGGAAGACTTGCGTGGCTCCTTGTGTTACTGCTTCTCCAGTGAACGTAACCTGCTGGGATCTTTCTCCACTCGCCTCTTGGAGCAGAGTGATGCCCTGACCTTGCCTTTTTCTAGGTTGTCCCTTCTGCTGGTCTGCCTCTGGAACACATAGATGAATCACTTGGAAAGTGTTGATTGTTTTTAGTTGCAGAGGAAGCCAGAAACCTTTGTCTGCTCAAGAAAGTGCCTTGAGCATCAAGACATCATAAGCCTCAGTAGATATTTGATGAATACTTGCGGAACTTGGCTTCATTTTTTCAAGCCTCTAATTTTGAAGATTTGTATCATAGAATGTCTGATACTGCATGTGATAGTTATTTTCTCTGTTCTCTTTTACATGTGAACAACATGTGGAACCTGACCCTACGGAAGTGCTTTAGCTCAGCTTCTCCCCTGGTCTGTGTCTCATTAGCTCCGTCAAGTTGCTGCCCTTCACCTAAGTGATGGTTCATACAGTTTTTTCTGCCCACTACATTTAACAGAGATAGAAGAGTTCTTCTTGCTAAAGGGCTGCAGGTGTGGAAGTGTTCCCCAGGAGATAGTATGAAGGCTGACTTGGGAAGAAATTGGAGCAAGACAGCTGGTGAGGAAAAAACCAAACGAACGAAAACAAGCAGAAGCAGGTATAGGAATCCAGCTAGTCCAACAGTTTGAAGGAGTTCCTGGGCGAGCAGTTTCTAAGGAGGACACTGCCAGCAGAAGTGTGTCATATAAATACTGCCACCTTCAAAAAACCTTTCTTGACCCTCTTGTCCCTTTGTCCCCTTCCCATTTCAGTTATCAACATGGCTTGTTAAAAATCTAGTCTCCTTTTGCTATCTTGTGTCTCATTTCTTCTCCAACACAGTATAGTTCTGCTTCTGCTCACACAGCACCATTGAAAGTCCTCTGGCTAAGGGGACCAGAAACACCCTTGTTTTAAAGCTCTTAAGTGGTCTCTTTAAGCTTTTTAAATTATTATTTTTATTTTAAAAACACATGTGAGTAATTTAAAGTTCAAATAGTTGTATGGAGCTTACCATGAAATAGTGGCCCCATTCCCACTCCTGCCCTACCCAGTTATCACTCCCAAAAGGCAGTCAGTAAGTATGTTTGCATTATCTTCCAGTATTTTCCTCCGTATTCAAATACTGTGCTTATATTGCCACCTCTTGATTTTTCAATTTGTGGTATTCTCTGTTGACCTCCTACTGTGGAGGATGAGGATGTAGCTCTTTTACATCATCTACCCACGCGCACACTTGTGTTCCCCTCATCTTTTCAGTAGTTATTTCCCAGCCTTTGGCTAGATCGGTATTCTAAGTTGATGTCACTTCCTGGGTTACTACCCTTCTGCTCTGAGCCATCCTGTACATCTTCTACCACTTTCGCCCCCTCACTTTTGCCTCATTTGTGTGCCTCTTTTCCTATAGACCTGTTATTCATCCCCCCGAATCTCTAACGCCACTGTGACATTTCTCTTAAATAATATGGATGGAATAAATATCAGTCTTTTTTTTTTTTTGAAATTTTCCTGGAGCCCTCTTGACCTGTTCCTGGTTGGGTGCTGTATTAGTGTGCTTGGGCTGTTTTAACAAAGTACCAAGACTGAGTGGTTTAAACAACAGAAATTTATTTTCCTACAGTTCTGGAGGCTAGAAGCCTGAGATCAAGGTGTCAGCAGAGTTGGTTTCTCCCGAGGCCTCTCTCCTTAAACAGGCTAAGGCCGTTTACGTCTCAGAGCCTTTGGACTCTCTTTGTTGCCTGGTATGCTGCTCTCCCAGATACTCGGAGCTTGCTTCCGGACCTCCTCCGGTCACTGTTCAAATGGCCCTTTTGGGTGAGATCTTTCCTAACCATCCTATTTAAAACAGTAATACCCAGGACCTGGCATTCCCCATTTTCTCTACTTTTTATCATATCCACCCCACAGCTACGTTTGTTATTTACTGTGTATAGACCAAGATGAGCCCCAACCGTAAAGAACGTGGAAAACAATTCTCTACGGCCTGTTTAGGAGACTACCTCCTCTTGCGGGCTGATCCATTCAAGGATGACCAATCACATTTCTGAGCCCGGTAGACAAAGCAAGAGCTCGATTTCATTAACATCCTGTCACCTATCTCTTCTTGAGTACCCGAGGCAAATCGCCGATCCTGCTCCCGGAGACCCTCCCTAAAAGACTGAACCAAGGGCAAGAAGGAAACTTTGAGTCCCGCCTGCCCTGAAAAAGAACTGTTCGATCTCCAGCAGCGGAGACGTGTGCAGAGGTCATCTGGGCCAAACTTCTTCGCACAGGACGGGAGAAAAATGACAACGCTTCGTCCAAGGACCCACCCCGCTTAGGGAGGAGGCTGAGACTCGCGCTAGACCCCAGCTTCCGGCCCCGGCCCAAGGGTCGTTTCCGCCCCCCCTCACCGGAAGTGACGGACGGAGCCGCTGCTTTCCTTCGTGTCCGCTGCGGGACCCACGCTGGGGAAGAGGGGCCTGCTGGAGGGCGGCCGGAAACCTTGCTCGCGCGGGGATCCGGAAGGACACCGTGGCCTCGGAGAGGGCGGGGATAGGGGGCTGCTGCCTCCGAGCTCCCGGAAGTGGAGGGCTTTGTTTCCGAGGGGAGGGTCTTCCGAGGCGGACGCGGGGCGCGGCGGTGAGCGCTCCCGGGGCACGAGGAGGACGGGCCGGGTGGAGGAGAGGGCTGGAGGTCGGGGACCGTGAAGGCCGGCCCCGCGCGGCTGTGGCCGCGGGTTTTCGAGACGGCGCCTGTGGTTCCCACCAGCCCTGCTTATCAAGCGCTTCCGGAGGCCGGGCCCTGGGCGTGCAGCGCGGAAAGAGCAGGTTCAGTCTCTCTTCTAGGGCTGCGCAGTCCAGTGAGGACGAGCGCCCGCCTCCCGGAAGTCGTGACGGGCTAAGCAGCGGCGCGTAGAATGAGGCTCGGGCCCGGGGTCTTGGGCGCTCGGCGCCGTGCACTCGTCACGGCGGGCGAAGGAGGGAGGAACGAGCCGGGCGCCGCCTGTCCCAGAGGGCAGAGTCGGCGGAGAGCTCGGCCGGGGGCGGGGGCCCGGGTCTGAGTGGGACGCCGTGGGGTCAGGCTGGGCTGTCTCAGGCGGGCTGCGGCAGGACCACAGCGGCCTCACCTTTTCCCAGGATCGCTTTGCCTGGTGGAGACTGCGGGCTAGGAGTGCAGGAATGGTGAGCGACCCGTCCTAGGGGCCACAGCTGGCGTGGAGGGGTGGTGGCGGTTGGGTGTGGGAAAGAAGTGGACGGGTTAGAATGATGTTTGAAAGGTAAAACTGACAAGTCTTTATGGATTAGATAGGGGATTTGAGTGAGAGCTCGGCGTCGAGCGATGATTCTAAGTTTCTGGCCCAAGTGAGTTAATTATGTAAAATGAAAACTGTTTTGACGTTTGCTAGGGGTCCTTTGTCCGAGGTGTAAAAACAAAACCACAAATTTTTTTTTCTTCGAAATTCTATTTTGTGTGGTCACTATAGGAAATTAGAACATACACACAAAAATATTTCTTATAGGGAGCAATAAGAATTGCCTATAGTGCTACCACCCAAGATGCCCTATTTTGGTGCGTTTCCTTCATGTTTTTGTTTTCTGTGTTTATCTTTTTGTACAATTGGGAATATATTCGTTATATCTTTTTGTGTCTTTTTTTTTCTCCCAGTGGACGTTATCGTGACAATGCTGTATGTCAGGACATTATCACAAAAATTTTTTTTCCAGAAGTGAGATGTAATTCCACCAAGTCCGAGAGAACTTTTTGGTGTATTTTCCTTTCAGTATTTTTTCTTTTTGTGCACCTTTTTAAAACCCTACAATTTATGCCACATTTTATGTTTTGTTTTCCAGTGAGATGTTTTTGCTTAATATTATTTATTGCTGTTTTCACACATCCTTAACTACTCCTCAAGACGTCAGTTTTTAATGGTGGTTTGGTCACAACCAACCCCTGTATTAGCCAGATAGGTTGTTTTCAGCTCTTTACTGTTAGGATGATGAGAGGGACGTCTTATTACATAAATCCTCAGATTTATTCCTTGAGAAATTTGTTCCTTGAGAAAGAGTCCTAGAAAGGTAACCTGCCAGGTAAAAGGATAAAATGAACCTATCAAATTGCCTCACCCAAATATCTTATTAAGATTTTGATTGAAATGGTTTTAAAGATTAAATTTTTGCAATACTTAATTTTTCCATTCAACGATACGGTTATGTTTTCCTAGTTATTCAAGTTGTCAAGTTTTATGCTGCTTTTATGTCTTTGTATATATCCTGTCCTTTCCTTGTTAAACTTTCGTCTGAGAAAGGGCCAGTATTACTGTTTACTTAGTAATTTTACTCTCTGCTTAAGTTCCATATGTGAAATGAGTATCTTTGAGTCATGTCCTACTTTCTTCTGTAAAATTATTTTCTTTCTTAATGTTTGTGTTTAGGTTCTGCTAAAATATAAATAAAATGGTGAGATCAGAAAGCCTAAAACGTTAAGTTGGAGTGAGGTTTCGTTAATACCATGAGTAACCTGTGGTCTAAAAATTCCTGATCATTTGCTCCCTTTTGTCTGTTGGGGGAGCTGCCCCCAGAAATGCATCAGAGCCTCCCTCATCTGTCCGACCAGGGACCAGGCGGGAACCTTGATCCTTTCCCAGGAATGGTAAAGGAAGCTAGAAACGGCCTAGCGTGCCCAGGAAGACATCTCATGAGGATGCCAAATGTGCTTTTGGGATAGATTTTTCCATTTTAAGAGTTCTTTCATTCTTAAAGTGATTTTAAGTTATTTAGTTGTTAGCAAGGATACTAATGAATTATGCTAACTTTTAAACAAAAGAGGTCTTCTGGTCTTTTGGTCAATAGGATCCTGCTTATCTGTGAAATGCAGTTAACACATCAGCTGGACCTATTTCCCGAATGCAGGGTGACCCTTCTGTTATTTAAAGATGTAAAAAATGCTGGAGACTTGAGAAAAAAGGCCATGGAAGGTGCCATTGATGGTTCATTAATAAACCCTACAATGGTAAGTGCAAGAGAGAATGAGTAAGCTATATGGGGCATTTAAGAATATGTTCGTTTTTCGTGATGTCGTAGGCTAGCCTAAAATGGTCATCTTCAGGTAAAAAGTTCTTGTCCAAGCTGTGGAATGGAGTCAGATTTAGCCAACTTTGAACTTAACAGTGAATCGAAGCCAAAGTGCCAGACCCTGCCCTAGGAGGTGTGAAAGGTTGTGGCCCGGCTCTGATGTAATGGCAGATGCCTGGATCTCCATCTTCTCATCTGAACTAGAAAGTCTCTGCAAAGGAGGCATTGCATAGTGGTCAAGAGCACACACAGTGGAATCACGTCACCAGGACTTAATCCCAGCTCTGCCATTTATTGTGACTTTGAGCGAGTGGTAGCCAACCTTTGTACAGTGCTTACTCTGTTCCTGGCTTTGTTCTGAGTGCTTTGCATACACTACTCACTTAATCTTCTCAACAATCCGAGGAAGTAAGTGCTGTGATTATCTGCATCTAGCAGATAAAGCACTAAGGAATTTGCCCAAGCTCCCTTGGTGCTAAGTGACAGAGCTGGGATTCAAACCCAGACAGTGTTTGCCTCAGTTTCCTTATCTATTGCACGTGAATAGTAATGTTGATTTCATAGGGTAGTTTTGAGAATTAAAATAATGCAGGTAAAATGTTTAGAATATGGCCTTTCCCATTATATTAGCCCTCAATAAGTGTTATTGTAAAAATTTTTACTATTTGTCTAAGTTCCTTGCAGCTTTAAAAATTCCCTGATTTTCTGCACACCCAGGCCCTTGAGGTAGTAATTTTGAAACTAGCGTCCGTAGGAATTGTGATGAAGTGAAAGAGCCTGACGCTGGCATTCCCGTGTGACAGGGCGTGCATCTGCAGAGCGCCCCCGGGTGCTCTGTGTGCGATTCTTTTTGTAATTCTTTCTGTTCTCTTTGGTAGATTGTCGATCCGTTTCAGATACTTGTGGCAGCAAACAAAGCAGTTCACCTCTACAAATTGGGGAAAATGAAGACAAGAACGCTATCTACTGAAATTATTTTCAACCTCTCCCCAAATAACAATGTAATTAGTATGAAACTTACTTTATTCCTGTTGACCTTGTCATGATAGCCTCTGTGCTCCCGGATCTGGGTTGGAGGGTGAATTCCTGTCAGCCTTTTAGTCACAAACCAAAATGATGGTGAAGAGAACTCTGGACAGAGTTGGGGGTTAGCACTGCCTCTTACTAGATGGAGAAGCTTTGGAGTCACTTCACGTGGGCGTAAATGAAAGTTCGGCTAAATTAAGGGAGGATAGTTTGATCTGTCCTTACCATATATGGTCAGGAAGCTCTCAGCAGGCATGGATATTTGTATGTTATCATGTGCATCTTTCACTCTCCATGTAAACTCCTTGAGGATAGAATCCATGTCTTTTCCATATACCAGAAGGTACTGCCTGGTACCTAGAATGGGCCTTGCACATGCTCACGAATGCAGCCGGCACACAGGTGTGGTTTGAGATGCTGATAGTAGTCACTTATTGACCTAAAGGCATTCCACCTGTGCCACATTAAAAAAAACCTGAAATTTTGCTGATGAAGTTTTAGAGTAAACTACTATTAACCAAGTACTAATGTCATCAAGAGAAAAATTAGGAAACCTCTGTCATGGTTTAAAATAAAGATTTTGATAAGTTTATAAAATGCAGTTATCTCAGCATAGTAAATTAGCACTCCCTAGTATCTGGAAAAAAATTTAGCAGATGATTATTGTTTCTTTGAGATCATTTGAAATAATTCAATAAACTATTCAATTCAGCAAATATCTGTTGAGCTTGTTCTTGTTCCAGTTCTCGGGGCAGAGAAGCAAATGTGTCTTCTTCCTCAACACATATGCCTGAGGAAGGCAGATGGACGAGACAAGTTCAAGTGCCCTGAGATGAATGATGTGATGGGAATGACCATTCAGATCTTTGGGAACACCAGGGAAGCTGTTCGTTCTGTAGGGAGGAGGGTGCAGTGGGGAGTGACATTTGAACTGTCCCTTGGAGGATGAGGGCACTGCAGGCAGAGGACAAAGTGTGAGCACAGGCAAAAAAAAATAGGAAATATGACGGGATCCCCAAACAGTCCAGACTGGCTGGAAGGCAGGAGTGCATGACAAGAGGGTCACTGGAGGCCAGAGGGAGGGGTGTTGGTGAGCCCTGCAGAGAAGTCGGCTTGATTCCTTAGGGATGAGGTGCAGCTTTGAGCAGGGAGTTGTCTAAAGCAGAGCTGGTAGATCTTAGAAAGGGATTGTTGAAGACAACCTGTAGGCAGAGAGAACCGTGAAGATAGGAAAATTCAGAATCTGACCGGGGAAGAGGGCTGATGGGGAAATGTGTCAGATACAGAAACTACTACTGGTTTTGTTGTCTTTTTTCTCCTCTTAGATTTCAGAGGCTTTGAAAAGATTTGGTATCTCAGCAAATGACACTTCAATTCTAGTTGTTTACATTGAAGAGGGAGAAAAACAAATAAATCAAGAATACCTAATAGCTCAGGTAGAAGGTCTTCAAGTTTCTCTGGAAAACCTTCCTGAAGTAACAAATATTACAGAAGTCAGAAAGGTCTGTGAATCCATATTTTTAGAAAGCATGTGATAAATGAGGACTAACGCTGATGCTGTTGGCATATTGATCACCAATGCTGCTGGGTGGTTTTTTTTTTTTTTCAAAGATTGGGCCCTGAGCTAACATCTATTCCCTATCTTTTTTTTTTCTTCTCCCCAAAGCCCCCCAGTACATAATTGTATATTCTAGTTGTGAATCTTTGGTTGTGGTATGTGGGACACCGCCTCAGCGTGGCCTGATGAGTGGTGCCATGTCCGCGCCCAGGATCCGAACTGGCAAAACCCTGGGCTGCTGAAGCGGAGCGCTCGAACTTAACCACACAGCCACGGGGCCCGCTTCTGTTTCTTTGCACTTTTAAGAAAGGTTAATTAAAAATTACTTTAAAAATGATTATAGATGCAAAGAATTGGGAGATGCAGATATATGTAAAATACAGACTTAGTTGACAACAGCATTCTCCACTTTAATTAAAGAATAGATAACTTTAACTATCAAGGTTACATAGTGCATTTCAAATGTAAAATAAAGTGAAGTTAACGTCTAGATGTATGCGTTTAACATTGGTATGCATGTGGCTTCTGCGTTCAGAGTTATCACCATAACTAGTTTAAAGGGAACTTTTGACATTAAGTGATGAATTGTCATCTACTTTGCACATTATAATCAAATTTGTGATTTGTGATTTCATACCATTAACCTAATAATCGAATGGTAAATAATTTTACTTGTACATGTTTGTATAATGAAAATTAGTGATGCGTGAATATATCACTGTGTCATAATTTGTCTTTTATTTTTACAGATATATAAACTGTCTTCACAAGAAGAAAGTATTGGGACATTATTGGATGGTATCGTTTGTAGAATGTCAACAAAAGATGTTTTGTGAAATGACAGAAATACTAACAAAAATTTTCAGCATTTATAAAAAAACATTGATTTTCCTTTCTTGATTATAAAATTAATGTATGTTCATGGTAGAAAATTTTAATTTTAAAACACAGACATAAAAAAGATATAAAAAAACAGAAAAAAACATTCCTAGTCCTAACTCTTAATAATTTAAAAGATCAACACTGTGAGTATTATTTGTTATTGTCTTCTAGTCTCTTATTTCTCTTGAACTGTATTTTATTTTTAAAGAATTGGGGTAATGGCAAACATTTCTTAGATGTCTGCAGTGTACTGGGTGCTTGCCGTAGTGGTTTTATATCCATCAGCTCACATCCCTGCCCTGACTTCCGGCTGTTCCAGCATTCCCCTTCCAAGCATCCTGGTTCTCAGTCTTTTACATGGAAAAATTCACCTAATTCACACACCTTAGGAGGTAGACACTGTCATTACCCCCATTTTACACACATGGCAACTAAAAGATAGAAATAATAAGTAATTTGCCCAAGATCGTACAGCTAGTGTAACCCAAGCCAACTCAGGCTTATTTAACGGAAGCTCCTGGAGAGAACACCCCCTCCCTGGACCTCCCGTCAGGGCTCCCAGAACCCAGCCTCGATCAGCGTCCTGGACTTCCACTGAGAGCTCCTGATTGAAAGAGACAACAGGGAGAATAACAGCAGATCGTTCCAAGGGGAAGAAGGTAGGCAGGCAGGTAATGTGTTCAGAAATCCTAGGACAAGCTCCCAGCTCTACGGAAGTCTTCTCTGACCTAACTGTCAACTAGTTCTCTGAGAAAGGGAGACGGTCTCAGGTCCCAACACTCAGATTAGGAAAACTCACGCAGATTTTATAGATGTGGATCATCAAAGGGACTCATTAAGAAGGTGTGGGCGGGCAGAGGGGACAAGGCATGGGACAGGAACCCGGCATACGACTGCCCAGAGGCCTGAAGCGAGGTGGAGGCAGAGGTCCCAGGAACCAGACCCTGGAGCTGAGGAGACAGGCTGCCCCCAGAGGTCTAGGGACAGAGCCAGCCCAGGGGACCTTGCAGGAGGGCGCCTCACTCTCTTCCTCCCTCCCGTCTCCTGCCAGCCTCCTCCCTCCACACACACTGTGAAACCCAGGCAGAAGCCAAGGAGAAGGGAGGACCTCTTGCTGGTACAGAATACCTCATCCTCAAACTGAACAAATTACTTCTTAGCCGCAGAAAAGGGAAGGGGAAGTTTGGAGTCCGCATTCTAGGCTTTCTTACTGCTGGGACCGACTCAGTGACCTCTGAAATGATCTTGACCTCAGCCTCCTTCCTTCCTACTCTCTAGAAAATTATCAGTCTCCTACGCTTGCCTGAGTGGTCTCTGCACAATTCAGAAATCTGATTTTTCTCTTCCCCAGAAGCCACTGTCCACAGCCCCAGGCCGGGAAAGCACTCTCCTCTCCCCTGCCATCCCCTTCTCACTCTGACACACACACACACACAGGCAGCAGCATCATACCTCTGTCAAAGTTCAGGAATAGAGGCACCCACCACGACTTTCCAACTCCTCAGGAGTCAGTGCTCCTGCTCCGCAGCAGAAGGGACACACGTGTCCTCAAGGCGTCTCCATCAGCCGGCTTGATGTTAAAGGTAGCCCCTCTCCCCACTCTGTGAGGTGAGGGCTGACTCATGGCATGGCAGCAACTCTCCCACTGGAAACCTCTCAGCATCTTTGCTCTCTCCAGCACTTTATAGGCTTCTTTGGGAATTAGGGCCATCTAAACACTTCCTTTATATTTGTTCTAATCTTGGTAAAGCAATAATTGATAGAACACAAACTTCCTGTAGCGTGTACAATTCAGTGGCGTTTAGTACATTCACAGTGTTGTACAGCCACCACCCATAGCAAGTCTCAAGACATTGTCATCATCCCGAAAGAAAGCATGCTCTCATGAAGCCATCGCTCCCCATTCCCCTTCACCCCAACCGCTGACAATCCCTACCCTGACTTGATAACCACTTTTGGAATTTCAACATTTGGGTCTCAGATCTCTTGCTAAAATCTCTGATCTACCATATCTGGTGCCTGGGTCTGAAGCTCCAGTTTCATTTCCAGTTCCCTGCAGCCCACTCTCTTGACCCAATGCGCTCCCACAATTCAGACACAGGTGCTTTCACTTGGACAGCTGTGGGCCCCAGACCCAAATCCTTCAGGAAAGACCCGCTTAAAACTCCTTTGGCAGTGAGTGTGGGTTTGGTTTGGGAAGATGACCCGAGGAGTCACCAGCCAGGGTGGGCCTGGCCTCTGTCCCCAGCTGATAGAGCTCCTCAGCATGTTCATGGCGATGACCAGGCAATGGGGAGCATCAGCCAGCAGAGGGCACCCCTGACTTCCTCTACCTGAGCAGAAGCCAGAGGGTCAAGAAAGGCTGGCCGCCATGTTGCATTGAGAAGAAACTGTCCAGGATTAATACTAATGGCTAATATTAATTGTGTAGGTATGAAAGCCTCATATTCACACTTCTTGACAAGCGTCCAGGCAATGTCCCGATGCCGGTCGGGGCACCACCCTTGAGTAGCAAGGGGCTAAACAGCAATAATGGCCAGAATAAAAGAAAGAGGAACTACTTCCTCCCTGTTCAACCACATATCTCTGCCACTCAGCTGAAAGGGGAGGAGCTGGGCCAAGAAAGAGGATGGGTGTGGGAGAGGTGGAAGGAGAATGTTCCAGCCAGGGGGAACAGCATGGCCAAAAGCCTCAAGCAGAAAGAGAGCATCAGTTTAGTGAAAGGACCAGCACAAGCTCAGTGTGTGTGGGCAGTGAGTGCAGGGGATCTGAGCAGGGCATGGACAAGCTCCGTTCCTGGTTCTGAATTTTCAGGAGCAGAAGCACTGTCTCCTCGGGGAAGCCCTCCACCGATGAGTGGCTTGGTGTCCTTTTGATGTCCTTCCTTGGTGCCCAGGACTTCCCTCATCCCCACACTTATGACAAGCTCTCTGCACTTGCCCCTCTTTGGTCTCTGTGCCTCCTCTGTCCTGGAAGCTCCTGGAGGGCGTGCTCCACGTCTGATGGGATTAGTAAAAACATTTAATCGTTATTTAAGAAAACTTTCAAACCATTGGGACCACTGTTATTCTGCTTCTTCTCCAGCATCAGCTGTGCCCACTTGGAAAACCTCTAGAGTGGCCACTGGCCTTGGGCACGGAGACCAGGAGGGAGCAGCAGCAGAGGCTGGCGCCTGGCTCTTGCTGCCCCCTTCAGAGAGCCTGGGCCCCAGGCCCAGCCAGTCAATAAAAGCTGGATCACAACCCGGGGAGCCACACAAGCTGGATTGAAAGGAGCAGGGGCGCAGTTGAACAGGTGATTGGGTGGAATGGAGGCGTTTTCAGAGAAGCACGAGGGGAAGGTGCAAAGGCAACAGGCCTGGAGGGGTAGATGGCCTGGCAGAGGGGACTCGGGACCCCCAAGGGCGAGGAGAAAGTGACCAGAAAGGAGGGGACAGAGGTGAGGGCCGCGGTCTTGGACAACAAAACATGAATGTTTGGAGCCACCCCATGACTTGGTGACAGGTCCCCATCCAGGTGAAGTGTGCCTGGAACAGCGCCAGTTTGCAGGATTGGGCCTGGTTTGTGGCCTGGCTGACCCTTCAGAGAAGAAAGCAATGAGCAGGGGGGACTGTGTGTGTCACCAAACTCCAGACTGAAAGGGCACTTGGACCTCCTGGGTCATGAGGGGACTCACCAGACCCTGGGACTCAGCCTGTGGGTTGGGGGACCGGGAGAGGCTCCAGACTCCGTGGGGGCTCAGCCAGTGCAGGTGGTGCCCTAGCTGGAAAGGGTGCACGGTGCTGCCTGGACCAGCCCCCCTCCCACTGTGTCAGAGGCTTCCGGGGCCCAGCGGTCAGGCCTGAGGCACCTGTGGAAATCTGCTCTCTGAGCATTTGGGAAGAGAGGGGCAGTCCCACCTGTGGCAGACCCGGGGCCTTGCCTATCCCATTTCCTCTCCCTGTATATACATCTTCCCGGTCTCCCCTCAGGCATTCGTGGCCACAAGCTGGGGTCTGGCAGTGGGATGTGGGTGGTGCCTCTTCTCAGTCATGCCCCTCTCCAAGTCCCACACTCCGTCCCTGGCTGCCATCTTCCCCTTTAGCAGCAGAGACCTTGACGCCATAGCACACGGATGGCCTCCTTCTTCTCCACACCCTCTGCATCGAGACTTTCAGCTCCTCTCACTGAAGCAGTGGGTCCACTTCTCTCCCCCGAGTCTGGGAGTCAGCAGAGGGGACACCTGCAGAAGCTGCAACCAGCACTGGCTTGAGTCTGCTTTGCTCTTGCTCAACTGCCATGACCTTAAAACCATGCTGAGCTGGCCTGTTGCAAGCCAGCAGCCCACTCTGTCTGTCACGTCAGCCCACCCAGGACCTGTGAACAAGGCTGTCTGACACCAAAGAGCTGCCCAGACAAGCCCAGCCAAGATGCTGACCCACAGACTCATGAGCTAAAGACATGTTTATTAGTATTTCGTAAGAATTTTACGTGCCGCGTTGTTGTGGCAGTAGATAAATGAACCAGTGGCACCCCAGAAACACTGAATGGAGCAGAGCCACTCCACCCCCAACCATGCAGGATTTCTATGTGAATGAACAGGAAGCAGTGACTATGCTGTCGCAGTGACATTCCAGGGTTGGCCTGTTCCTGAAGCAGAGCTGGTCCTCCCCTGACTAGTGCACCAGGAGACAGCTCAGGGGCCCCCTCCCTGCCCCGGTGCAGGAGAGACCTGAGCAGAGGGCAGGTGGTAGATGAAATGAATTAACGGGATAGCCATTAGCCTGAAGCTCTGAAAGGCAAAGGACTGGTGTGTCTCCTGGAAGCCCATGCTGTGGTAGATGGCCAGGGCAGGGGACTGCATGATGGTGGTGTTGAGGACGACTTCACTGTAGCCCTGGTCTCTTGCAAACTGGAGGACAGTCCTGACCAGGGCTTTCGCTATCCCCTGACCACGGTGCTCCAAGGCCACACTTAGGCGAAGCAGCTCCACCTGCTTTTTCTGCAGCGTGGGCTCCTCAACAGGCAGAGCTCCCACCGTGCCCACCACCTGCCCCTCGGACTCAACCACCCAGAAGCAGGAGCCACACTCACTGAAGTAGTATTTGGTGATGTCAGACAAGTCTGTCTGTAAAGCCTTGACAGTGTGCTGAGTCCAACTGTACTTGGCAAGAAACCACAGGGTAGTGAGGAAGGTGAGGCTGGCCATGAGGGCCAGGAGCCAGGACCCAGAGACCAGGAACACTGCTAGGGGCCCCCCAAGCAAGAGCACGAGGTTTTGCCGCAGTTTCAGGGTGTGGCGAAAGGTGGCAGGGACGTGCTCGGCCATCCCCTGGGAGAACAAGCCCAGGACACGTTTGCGGTCGCTCTCCTGGTATTTGCGGATGTGATAAGGAGCCATGGCAGCCTTCTTGTCTGAGTCTGCAAGTCAGTGGAGAGAGAGTGGGCTAGGTGTCCCTGCACACCTTCCAGGCAGCCCTGCAGAGGACAGAGGAAGCCATGTGAGTGCCCCCATGTCTCCCACCTCCCAGGGACAGGGCAGACCCTGCTGCAGGGTGGGTCTTTCTGCTCCTGCCCCAGAGGAAGTGGGCCAGGGCCACTGGGACAAGGAGTCGGCTCAGAAGACTGTATTTCAGCCTGGCTACATCCCTTTCAAGCTGTGTGCCCTTGGGCATGTCACGTATCTTGCCTAGCTCTGTGTCTTCAACTGTAGAACAGGCCAACATAAAGCCTTCGTTCTGGGCTTTCTTGAGATTTTAATGAAATACCATGCAATGCTCCCCTCCACCCCCCTTCCCCTCTTACTGGCTCTCAGCTTCTTGATACACTGGGGTAGCAGGTCCGGTTATCAGATGGTCCACATGTCCCCTGCCTTTTGTTTCCTTTCCAAGGACCATACATTTCTGGACTCTCCTGTGTCTAAGTACAAGTTGCAGCAAAGGCTCCTTCCACCTTTATTGCAAACTTTCAGGCTGCTGTGGTGGCATAAGAGCAAACACTGAAAATGGCCCAGCCCTGAGAGCCACAGGAGGGTCTGGGGCCAGGCCACTCTCAGAGCACTGTCCTTCCACCCACGTCCTCTCACCTGCTCTCACAAGGGCCTTGACTGTCCAAGGCGTCCTCGGTGGGGCCACGGCCCTCAAACTCCAACCAGCATCCCGGAGAGACTGGACAGGAACTCTCCAGCTCTGGGGAGCAGGTCCATTGATGCCACCTCATTGGCTGGCTCATGGACATTTGACAATCATAAACCCAGGATCAAGGAGCCGGGCTGTGACAGAGCGCAGAGCCCATCCTCCATTCACCTGTGTGACTATCAGGGCAGCAGCCTGCAGCGGGGCCGCAGGGTCTGAGCTGCTCAGGGTCCTTGCTCTTGTGGACAGTCTAGACCCCTCGTCCTCTGGTGGTTCCAGCCTGGAGCATCACCCACCTGGCCACTTGGTGCTCTCTGATCTCCAACCTCTGGCCCTTCCCTCACCTCCCAGGAACCTCGGGAATGCACCCCCCCGCCCCCCCTTCATATGCCCTGTTCAAAGTCCAAGTCCCCCTGGCTGGGCAGACTGGTCCTTCACAGCTGGGCTTTTCCCTGCCTAGACTTTACCGGTTCCAAAAAATTGACCCTTTGTAATTGCTCCACTTGCCTTATCCGGCTCTACTTCCCTTCATTTGTTCATTCATTCTTTCCTTCATTTATTCATTCAAGGTACTATTATGTATGCTGCTCCTGCTCTGTGCCAGACATCCTTTCAGCTCCGACGATGTTGACACAGAACTGACGGGCATCGGTACAGTGTGCAGCTGGTGTCTGTTCTGGTCCTTGGTCCGGAGTGTGCCATAACAGTCGTTGCATAGTTTGCACTGAGATGTAGCAGTCACGGAAACAGGCAGAAACCAAACACAACAGGAAAACCTCTTCTGTGTGGAACCTCAATGCTGTGAGTGGGGACGATGGAGCGGGAGGATGCTTCTCACCCAAAGATCAGCTTGCATCTCTCCCAATAGCCCTCATCTCACAGACCAGGAATGTCCCCAGCTCTACGTTCTCAGGGCTTCCTGGAGCCATGACCAGCTTTACAATCAGGCATTGGTTCTGTCCAGCGCTCATTGGGGGCAGGCACCCTGTGGGCAGTGGGGCTCAAGCAGAGAGCTGGGCAGACACAGGTTCTTCCCTCCAAGAAGCTCCTCAGAAGCCATCAGTGATGGGGGGACGTGTGGCCCCCTCTCACACCTGTGGGGATGGCTGGGCGGGAGATGTTTCAGCGGCCCTGACAGTGTACTGGGGGCATCCAGGGGAGGACCCTGGGGCAGAGTCCAGAAGGAGGGGTAGGACTGAGCAAGGCAGAGAGAAGGGGAGCCTTCCAAGCTGAGGGAACAGAGGCATGAAGACCCTGAGGCCGGACAAAGGCAAGGCTTTCATGGAAAGACAGTGACACGGCCCCTGAAGGTGTCAGAGAGTGAGGATGGCAGTGGCCTGGCCATGACGGCCTGAGGTCCACGTTAAGGAGTTGGACTCTGTTCCAAGAACTCCATGAGGCTATTATATGCTTTTAGCTGAGGCGGGACCTAACTAGCAGGGGGTGTGAGTGGGTGGGTGGGGGATATGTTTGTCACTCTGGCTACATGTGGAGAATGGACGGGAAGATGGCAAGAGGCAGAAATGGAAGCACATTTTCCACCCGCACCCACAGAGGCTAGTGCCACAGACCAGACAGAGGAGGCCCCCAGGTACAGATATGCAGCCTGCTCACTGTACAGAGCACCTGGCCAGGAGGGCGAGTGGCAACTAGAATCGACCTTGACTCCTCTCACCACGCCGTGAGCCGTGGCACAGAGCTGAGTCTGGACAAAGGAAAAGGCACCTTTTTGTCACTCGCTCAAAGGCGTGGCTGCCTACTGGACTGTGCATCCAATGGGCTGTGTCTGTGGGAGCGCATGACTGTCCTATGTTCACAAAGGACCCTTCCGGGCTACTCGAGGCCCTCGAGAGAAAGTGGTGGCTTGGCCCAGAGCAGGGAGATGGAAATGATAAAACCTGGCCCAACTGGAGGGGCATCTTGGGGGGCAGAAATGGCAGCAGGTAGTAATGATCCAAATGGAAAGAGGACAAGGAAGGTGTCCAAGTTGACAGCCAGATTTCTGGTAAGAGCATTGAGGAGGACGCTGGTGAGGACCAGACTAAGAGAGAAGGATCATGATGACCCTAAAGGTGCCATCCTACAGCCTTCCTAATCGGAAACCAGAAGCTGGCAGCTGGAATCCTGGGCCGTGGATGGACACTGCTGAGGTTCCGGATTTGGGCCCCAACAAGGCCACAGGGTAGAGTTGAATGAACACGAAGTCTGGGTGGTGTGTGCATGGGAGTTTGTGAGGTTGTTTTCAGTACATTTCAATATTTTCTTGAGACATTTCCATGTTAAGTAACATATGAACTAGGAGTCAACAGAGGAGAACAAAGGGATCCAAAGTGCAAGTGCGTGTTCCTCATGAGTCTGTCGAACATTAACCCTCAGGAACCTCGCAGCGCAGCCCAGGGGCCAGAGGTCTGTGACCTGACCCCGCCCTCCATCTGCCTGTATCCTCAGGGCCTCTGTGGCTTCCTCAACACCCAGTGCCCTGGGAACACTCAGGCTTTTCATCCTTCCTCACAGCCGTGAACAATGATGTTGAGGATTTATTGTCACGAAAAACAAAAGTCAAAATATAGCACCACACAATACAAGGTTACGAAACAGCGTGTTTGAATTCACGTTTGTTAAAACGTACCTTACGAATATTGTGGCCCTCAAGCAGGCAGGGGAAATGCCTGAGTTTGCCAAATGTTGGCAGCAGTCGTCTCTGGAGAGGGGACCTGCGAGGGATTCTCCGTGTGGGGAGGAAGCCAGGACGTCCTAGCACGTTTTCAGAAGACGAACGAGGATGGGAATCTATGTGTCTCTGCCTCAGCCGACTCCTAGAGGGCAAGGCACCTTAGAGGCCTACAGGGAATGCGGGACATTCTATGGTTTTATTTTATTGTATTTACTTATTTATTTATTTTTAGGAAGATTAGTCCTGAGCTAACATCTGCCGCCAGTCCACCTTTTTTTGAGGAGGAAGACTAGCCCTGTGCTAACATCCGTGCCCATCTCCTCTACTTTATATGTGGGATGCCTACCACAGCATGGCTTGATAAGTGGTGCCGTGTCCGCACCCGGGATCCGAACCAGCAAACCCCGGGCCGTCGAAGCAGAACCTGTGCACTTAACCGCTTTGCCACCAGGCCGGCCCCTATGATTTTATTTTTTAACTAATCAAGGTAATGTGAACAATTGAGTGGCACCTAGCACCTTCACAATGGGATGCAAACCCCATCAGGTTCCCAAGCATTTTCATCACCCAAAGGAAACCCCTTCCCCATTAAGCAGTCACTCCCTGTCCCCTCCTCCCAGCCCCTAGCCACCACTAATCAGCTTCCTGTCTCTATGGATTTACCTATTCTAGAAATTTCCTTCAAATGGAGTCATGCAATCTGTGAACCTTATGTTCAGCTTCTTTTTTGTTTTGTTTTCTTTTCTCTCACTCTCTTTTTTTTTTGGTGAGGAAGATTGGCCCTGAGGTAACATCTGTGCCAATCTTCCTCTTTTGTATGTTGGTCACCACCACAGCATGGCTTCATGCATTGGGTATAGGTCTGTGCCCAGGATCTGAATTTCGCAAACCCTGGGCTGCCAAAGTGTAGCACACGCACTTAACGACTACACCTCTGGGCTGACCTCATGCTTCTTTTTCTTTATGGTTTTCAGGTTTCACCCACATTGTAGCACATGGCAGTATTTCATTGCTTCTTATTTGTTATTTTTAGTGCCCCCAAGTCATCTGCAATTTCTGGTGACCCTGGGTATAGCAGAGAAGAAGCCTGCTCCTTGTTTTCGCTCCATCCTCTCACCTTCTGGCACTATATCAAACAGTGCCCCGTTGCTATTCATAGAGTTTTCATGGCCAATTTTTTTCGGAAGTGGGTGACCAGGTCCTTCTTTCTAGTTTGTCTTAGTCTGGAAGCTCCACTCATACCTGTCCACCATGGGCGACCCTGCTGGGATAACTGTGGCATAGCTTTCAGCATCACAGCAACATGCAACTGCCACAGAAGGACAACAGACAGGCACCAGACGGGTGGTGTGGCTTCCTGACCAAGAAACAAACCAGGGCCGTGGTGGTGAGAGCATGAATCTTAGCCACCGGCCTAGGAGGGCTGGCTTTTTATGGCTGAATGTATTCCACTGTATGGAGAGACTGCCTTTCTTTATCCATTTTGGACATTTGGGTTGTTTCCACTTTCTGGCTATTGTGAATAGTGCTGCTGGGTACATTCCTGTATGAGTTGTGTGTGAACACTTGTTTCAATTCTCTCGCTGTAAACCTGCAAGTGGAATTGCTGAGTCATATGGAAATTTTATGTTCCACATTTTGAGGAACTGGAACCAAGGCTGTGAGTTACCACAGTGGGAGGGTCTTTAATCCCCCATCTCCTCCCCACCATACTCTCAAAGCTGCTACAGCTGCTCATAAGCTTGGAGCCTACTTTTTTAGGAGAAGGACAGCCACTCATAGGCTCTGTTTCAGGTCTGCTGCTGCCATCCTCATTCTGCTTTTCCCCTTGATGACCGAATTCCACAAGACCTTGTCTACAAACCCCAGGAGTCAGGTCCTTTGCTCTGGGACCTACGCTGGGATGGGAGGCACTCCTCTGCTTTGGGCTTTGTTTTCCTGACTGAAGAGCTATTGGCAGTAAAGTCAGAAATGAAGAAAAGCATAACCTTCTAGGTTGGTTGGATCAGAATGAGCAAAGCTGTATGCAGCAAATGCCTGCTCTTGATATTTTGATAAAGCTGTCAGCCAGTTATCTCCCATTTTCCTCCAGATCATGCAACACGCATCCTCACTCTTATCTCTGTCCTGGGAGGCCGACCTATGTGTAACAGAGCAAGAGGTCCCTCCTTCCCCTTGGGTTTCACAGTGTGTGTGGAGGGAGGAGGCTGGCAGGAGACGGGAGGGAGGAAGAGAGTGAGGCGCCCTCCTGCAAGGTCCCCTGGGCTGGCTCTGTCCCTAGACCTCCGGGGGCAGCCTGTCTCCTCAGCTCCAGGGTCTGGTTCCTGGGACCTCTGCCTCCACCTCGCTTCAGGCCTCTGGGCAGTCGTATGCCGGGTTCCTGTCCCATGCCTTGTCCCCTCTGCCCGCCCACACCTTCTTAATGAGTCCCTTTGATGATCCACATCTATAAAATCTGCGTGAGTTTTCCTAATCTGAGTGTTGGGACCTGAGACCGTCTCCCTTTCTCAGAGAACTAGTTGACAGTTAGGTCAGAGAAGACTTCCGTAGAGCTGGGAGCTTGTCCTAGGATTTCTGAACACATTACCTGCCTGCCTACCTTCTTCCCCTTGGAACGATCTGCTGTTATTCTCCCCGTTGTCTCTTTCAGTCAGGAGCTCTCAGTGGAAGTCCAGGACGCTGATCGAGGCTGGGTTCTGGGAGCCCTGACGGGAGGTCCAGGGAGGGGGTGTTCTCTCCAGGAGCTTCTGTTAAACGAGCCTGAGTTGACTCTTTTCTCCCTGAGACTTCCAATACATACCGCCACTTATTGTCTACCTGCCTTCTCACTGGTCCATTTCTGCGCTGGGCTGGTCCCACAACTCTGGCAATAACAGTGGTTCCAAAAGTGGAATCCCCTAATACACTCAAGCTCCTATGGGTAACAGAAAATGAATAAAATGGTTTATCGGGTACTCTGTTCATGTTGAATCTAACGAACTGTCTTCAGTTAACAGTTACTTGACAAGCAAGTAACAAATGAACAGCAATATAAGTACTTGATGAGAAGTGCAGAGGCTTCAAAGGCAGGAGCAGTACAAGGTCCATCAGGCTGGGAGAGGTCAGAGGTCTCGTTGGAGAAGGCCCCACTAAACTGGATCTTGAAGGAAGAACAGTTCCTCCATCACATATTGGAGTGGGGTCAAACATGGCCCGACCCCTGGCCCCAGATGGACGTGATCGGGGTGAGGGGTGAATCTCACACCCCACCCGACAGAGCTGGGTCCTCCCAAACGGTGCTGTGTATAAATTCATAATTCACCAAACCCTTGTCAGACACCTGCCTGGGGTCAGCCTGCGCTGAAGCAGCACCACGTGCAGGCCCCGGGCCGGATATCTCCGCTCTCTGGACTTGGCTTCCCATCTGTAAGATGGAAACACTGACATCTACCTTAGTTCTCAGGCTGCCGTCAACATCACAGAGTACAGGACAGGAAAACAGCTTTCTCACGGTGCCAGGCTGCTAATTCCTGGTGAGTGGCCGCTGTCTCTCTTCCCTGTAGGTGCCAGGCAGATGTGCTGAGCAGATGGGAAAATGAAATACGACTCATTGCTGGTGGGAAAGTGACGCAGTGCGGCCACTTTGGACAACAGTTGGCAGTTCCTCACTTTTGCAACACAGTGTTATCATATGATGCCGCAATTCTACCCAAGGTGTATAGGGAAAGAACTGAAAATAGGTGTTCACACAATGCCATTAGAGGAATGTTCTAGCTGCGCTCTTCACAATAGCCAGAAGGTGGAACCAACCCAAATGTCCATCAATAGATGAATGGATAAACAAAGGCAGTCTCTCCAGTCAATAAATATTATTCAGTCATAAAAAGCCAGTCCTGGAGGTCTGGGGGTCAAGATTTGGTGCTCTCCACACCAGTGAGGGAACCACCCCACTGCTCCGCCCATTGTCCTACCGTGGCAGCTGCGTGTTGCTGTGATGCTGAAAACTATGCACCGGAAGTATTTCCAATCCCAGCAGGGTCACCCATAGTGGACAGGTTTCAGTGGAGCTTCCAGTCTGACACAAACCAGGAAGATCTGGCGACCCACTTCAACAAGACGGCCATGGAAACCCTGTGAACAGCGGCAGAGCACTGTCACCTAATGCACCGGAAGCTGAGAGGATGGCGCAAAAGGACGGCAGGGTCCGCTCTGCTGTACCCAGGGTCGCTAGGAGCCCCAGCTGACTTGGTGGCACCGAAAATAAGGAATCAAAAGCAACGAAGCATTGACACATGCTACAGCACGGGTGAACCCTAAACATAAAGAAAAAGCAAATGAACATAAGGTTCACAGATTGTGTGATTCCATTTCGGGGAAACATCCAGAGTGGGTGAACGTATACAGACAGAAAGCATGTTAGTGTCAGCCAGGGGCTGGGAGAGGAGGGGACAGGGAGTGACTGCTTAATGGGGAAGGGGTTTCCTTTGGGTGATGAAAATGATTGGGAACCTGATAGGGTGAGGTTTGCACCCCGTTGTGAAGGTGCTAGGTGCCACTCAATTGTTCACATCACTGTGGTTAGTCAAAAAATAAAGCCATAGAATGAACTAATACTCCCACCTCCCCTGAAGGAGTCCAAGGTCTCAGCTGGGTCCCTCGCCCTCTCGGAGTCGGCTGAGGCAGAGACACGTAGGTTCCCATCCTCGTTCGTCTTCTGAAAACGTGCTAGGACGTCCTGCCTTCCTCCCCACACGGAGACTCCCTCGCAGGTCCCGTCTCCAGAGACGGCTGCTGCCAACATTTGGCAAACCACTCAGGCGTTTCCCCTGCCTGCTCGTGTGTCCACACTATTCGTAAGGTACGTTTCAGCAAACGTGAATTCAAACACGCTGTTTCGTAACCTTGTATTGTGTGGTGCTATATTTTGACTTTTGTTTTTCGTGACAATAAATCCTCAACATCATTGTTCACGGCTGTGAGGAAGGATGAAAAGCCTGAGTGTTCCCAGGGCACTGGGTGTTGAGGAAGCCACAGAGGCCCTGAGGATACAGGCAGATGGAGGGCGGACCTCTGGCCCCTGGGCTGCGCTGCGAGGTTCCTGAGGGTTAATGTTCGACAGACTCATGAGGAACACGCACCTGCACTTTGGAGCCCTTTGTTCTCCTCTGTTGACTCCTAGTTCATATGTTACTTAACATGGAAATGTCTCAAGAAAATGTTGAAATGTACTGAAAACAACCTCACAAACTCCCATGCACACACCACCCAGACTTCGTGTTCATTCAACTCTACCCTGTGGCCTTGTTGGGGCCCAAATCCGGAACCTCAGCAGTGTCCATCCACGGCCCAGGATTCCAGCTGCCAGCTTCTGGTTTCCGATTAGGAAGGCTGCAGGATGGCACCTTTAGGGTCATCATGATCCTTCTCTCTTAGTCTGGTCCTCACGAGCATCCACCTCAATGCCGTTGCCAGAAACCTGGCTTCCTTGTCCTCTTTCCATTTGGATTATTACTACCTGCTGCCATTTCTGCCCCCCAAGATGCCCCTCCAGTTGGCCAGGTCTCATCATTTCTAACTCCCCGCTCTGGGCCAAGCCACCACTTTCTCTCGAGGGCCTCGAGTAGCCCGGAAGGGTCCTTTGTGAACATAGGACAGTCATGCGCTCCCACAGACACAGCCCATTGGATGCACAGTCCAGTAGGCAGCCACGCCTTTGAGCGAGTGACAAAAAGGTGCCTTTTCCTTTGTCCAGACTCAGCTCTGTGCCACGGCTCACGGCGTGGTGAGAGGAGTCAAGGTCGATTCTAGTTGCCACTCGCCCTCCTGGCCAGGTGCTCTGTACAGTGAGCAGGCTGCATATCTGTACCTGGGGGCCTCCTCTGTCTGGTCTGTGGCACTAGCCTCTGTGGGTGCGGGTGGAAAATGTGCTTCCATTTCTGCCTCTTGCCATCTTCCCGTCCATTCTCCACATGTAGCCAGAGTGACAAACATATCCCCACCCACCCACTCACACCCCCTGCTGGTTAGGTCCCGCCTCAGCTAAAAGCATATAATAGCCTCATGGAGTTCTTGGAACAGAGTCCAACTCCTTAACGTGGACCTCAGGCCGTCATGGCCAGGCCACTGCCATCCTCACTCTCTGACACCTTCAGGGGCCGTGTCACTGTCTTTCCATGAAAGCCTTGCCTTTGTCCGGCCTCAGGGTCTTCATGCCTCTGTTCCCTCAGCTTGGAAGGCTCCCCTTCTCTCTGCCTTGCTCAGTCCTACCCCTCCTTCTGGACTCTGCCCCAGGGTCCTCCCCTGGATGCCCCCAGTACACTGTCAGGGCCGCTGAAACATCTCCCGCCCAGCCATCCCCACAGGTGTGAGAGGGGGCCACACGTCCCCCCATCACTGATGGCTTCTGAGGAGCTTCTTGGAGGGAAGAACCTGCGTCTGCTCCGCTCTCTGCTTGACCCCCACTGCCCATAGGGTGCCGGCCCCCAATGAGCGCTGGACAGAACCAATGCCTGATTGTAAAGCTGGTCATGGCTTCACGAAGCTTTGACAACGTAGAGCTGGGTCTTTCCTGGTCTGTGTGTGAAGGCATGCAGGAGAAATGCAAGCTGATTTTGGAAGGGGAGTGTCCTCTCCCCAGCTCACAGCATTGAGGTTCCACAGAGACTAGATTTTCCTGTTGTGTTTGGTTTATGTCTGTTTCAGCTACTGCTACTACTCAGTGCAAACTATTTAACAACTGTTATGGGACACGCTGGAGCAAGGACCAGAACAGACACCAGCTGCACACTGTACCCATGTCTGTCAGCTCTGTGTCAACATTGTAGGAGCTGAAAGGAACATGGCACATAGTAGGTACACCATACATAATAGTACCTTGAATGAATGAATGAATGGAAGTGGAGCTCGGTGAGATAAGTGCAGGGAACTGCAAAGGATCAATTATTTTGGAACACTTGAGGCCCAGGCAGGGAGAAGCCAAGCTGTGAAGGACCCAGTCTGCCCAGCCAGGCGACATGGACTCTGGCCTGTCAGGACAGATCACAAGGAGCAAGGTGCATTCCCCAGGCTCCTAGGAGCTGAGGGGAGGGCCAGAGGGTGGACATCAGGAGCACTGAGGGGCCAGGTGGGCGATGCTCCAGGCTGGAACCACCACGGGAGGAGGGGTCTAGACTGTCAACAAGAGCAAGGACCCTGAGCAGATCAGACCCCGCTGCCCCACTCCAGGCTGCTGCCCTGATGGTGACAACGGTGAGTGGAGGATGGGCTCTCTGCTCTGTCACAGCCCAGCTCCTTGATCCTGGCTTTATGATTATCAAATGTCCACGAGCCAGCCAATGAGGTGGCATCATGGACCTGCTCCCCAGAGCTAGAGAGTTTCTGAACAGTCTCTCCTGGATGCTGGTTGGATTCTCAGAGCAGTGGCCCCGCTGAGGACGCCTTGGACTCTCAAGGACCTTGTGTGAGCAAGTGAGAGAACGTGGGTGGAAGGACAGTGCTCTGAGAGTGGCCTGGCCCCAGACCCTGCATGGCTCTCAGGGCTGGGCCATTTTCAGTGTTTGCTCTTATGCCACCACAGCAGCCTGAAAGTTTGCAACAAAGGTGGAAGGAGCCTTTGCTGAAACTCGTACTTAGACACAGGAGATTCCTGAAATGTATGGTTCTTGGAAAGGAAACAAAAGGCAGGGGACATGTGGACCATCTGATAACCGGACCTGCTGCCCCAGTGTATCAAGAAGCTGAGAGAGCCAGTAAGAGGGGAAGGTGGGTGGAGGGGGGCATTGCATGGTATTTCATTAAAATCTCAAGAAAGCCCAAAATGTAGGTTTTATTTTGCCCTGTTCTACAGATGAAGACACAGAGCTAGGCAAGATATGTGACATGCCCAAGGGCACACAGCTTGAAAGGGATGTAGCCAGGCTGAAATACAGTCTTCTGAGCCGACTCCTTGTCCCAGTGGCCCTGGCCCATTTCCTCTGGGGCAGGAGCAGAAAGACCCACCCTGCAGCAGGGTCTGCCCTGTCCCTGGGAGGTGGGAGACATGGGGGCACTCACATGGCTTCCTCTGTCCTCTGCAGGGCTGCCTGGAAGGTGTGCAGGGACACCTAGCCCACTCTCTCTCCACTGACTTGCAGACTCAGACAAGAAGGCTGCCATGGCTCCTTATCACATCCGCAAATACCAGGAGAGCGACCGCAAACGTGTCCTGGGCTTGTTCTCCCAGGGGATGGCCGAGCACGTCCCTGCCACCTTCCGCCACACCCTGAAGCTGCCGCCAACACTTGTGCTCTTGCTTGGGGGGCCCCTCGCAGTGTTCCCGGTCTCTGGGTCCTGGCTCTCAGCCCTCGTAGCCAGCCTCACCCTCCTCACTGCCCTGTGGTTTCTTGCCAAGTACTCTTGGAACCAGTTTCTAGTCAAGGCTTTACAGACAGACTTGTCTGACATCACCAAATACTACTTCAGTGAGTGTGGCTCCTGCTTCTGGGTGGTTGAGTCCGAGGGGCAGGTGGTGGGCACCGTGGGAGCTGTGCCCGTTGAGGAGCCCACGCTGCAGAAAAAGCAGGTGGAGCTGCTTCGCCTAAGAGTGGCCTTGGAGCACCGTGGTCAGGGGATAGCGAAAGCCCTGGTCAGGACTGTCCTCCAGTTTGCAAGGGACCAGGGCTACAGTGAAGTCGTCCTCAACACCACCATCATGCAGTCCCCTGCCCTGGCCATCTACCACAGCATGGGCTTCCAGGAGACACACCAGTCCTTTGCCTTTCAGAGCTTCAGGCTAATGGCTATCCCGTTAATTCATTTCATCTACCACCTGCCCTCTGCTCAGGTCTCTCCTGCACCGGGGCAGGGAGGGGGCCCCTGAGCTGTCTCCTGGTGCACTAGTCAGGGGAGGACCAGCTCTGCTTCAGGAACAGGCCAACCCTGGAATGTCACTGCGACAGCATAGTCACTGCTTCCTGTTCATTCACATAGAAATCCTGCATGGTTGGGGGTGGAGTGGCTCTGCTCCATTCAGTGTTTCTGGGGTGCCACTGGTTCATTTATCTACTGCCACAACAACGCGGCACGTAAAATTCTTACGAAATACTAATAAACATGTCTTTAGCTCATGAGTCTGTGGGTCAGCATCTTGGCTGGGCTTGTCTGGGCAGCTCTTTGGTGTCAGACAGCCTTGTTCACAGGTCCTGGGTGGGCTGACGTGACAGACAGAGTGGGCTGCTGGCTTGCAACAGGCCAGCTCAGCATGGTTTTAAGGTCATGGCAGTTGAGCAAGAGCAAAGCAGACTCAAGCCAGTGCTGGTTGCAGCTTCTGCAGGTGTCCCCTCTGCTGACTCCCAGACTCGGGGGAGAGAAGTGGACCCACTGCTTCAGTGAGAGGAGCTGAAAGTCTCGATGCAGAGGGTGTGGAGAAGAAGGAGGCCATCCGTGTGCTATGGCGTCAAGGTCTCTGCTGCTAAAGGGGAAGATGGCAGCCAGGGACGGAGTGTGGGACTTGGAGAGGGGCATGACTGAGAAGAGGCACCACCCACATCCCACTGCCAGACCCCAGCTTGTGGCCACGAATGCCTGAGGGGACGCTGGGAAGATGCGTATACAGCGAGAGGAAATGGGATAGGCAAGGCCCCGGGTCTGCCACACATGTGACCGCACCCCTGTCCCCAAATGCTCAGGGAGCAGATTTCCACAGGTGCCTCAGGCCTGACCGCTGGGCCCCGGAAGCCTCTGACACAGTGGGAGGGGGGCTGGTCCAGGCAGCACCGTGCACCCTTTCCAGCTAGGGCACCACCTGCACTGGCTGAGCCCCCACGGAGTCTGGAGCCTCTCCCGGTCCCCCAACCCACAGGCTGAGTCCCAGGGTCTGGTGAGTCCCCTCATGACCCAGGAGGTCCAAGTGCCCTTTCAGTCTGGAGTTTGGTGACACACACAGTCCCCCCTGCTCATTGCTTTCTTCTCTGAAGGGTCAGCCAGGCCACAAACCAGGCCCAATCCTGCAAACTGGCGCTGTTCCAGGCACACTTCACCTGGATGGGGACCTGTCACCAAGTCATGGGGTGGCTCCAAACATTCATGTTTTGTTGTCCAAGACCGCGGCCCTCACCTCTGTCCCCTCCTTTCTGGTCACTTTCTCCTCGCCCTTGGGGGTCCCGAGTCCCCTCTGCCAGGCCATCTACCCCTCCAGGCCTGTTGCCTTTGCACCTTCCCCTCGTGCTTCTCTGAAGACGCCACCATTCCACCCAATCACCTGTTCAACTGCGCCCCTGCTCCTTTCAATCCAGCTTGTGTGGCTCCCCGGGTTGTGGTCTAGCTTTTATTGACTGTTGGGGTCTCAGGCCCAGGATGTCTGAGGGGGGCAGCAAGAGCCAGGCGCCAGCCTCTGTTGCTGGCTGCTCCTTCCTGGTCTCCTGGGCCAGGCAGGCAGCCCCTCTCAAGGAGCTTCCATAAGCACCCACTGCTACTGGAGCTGAGAGGCTTACAGTGGTCCTGATGGTTTGAAAGTTTTCTGATAACAATTGAATGCTTCTACTAATCCCAGCAGACATGGAATATGCCCTTCAGGGGCTTACAGGCCAGTGAGGCCGAGAGACCAAGGAGAGGCAAGTTGGGAGATCTTGTCATAAGTGTGTGGATGAGGGAAGTCCTGGGCACCAAGGAAGGACATCAAAAGGACACCAACCCACTCATCGTTGGAGGGCTTCCCCGAGGAGACAGGGCTTCTGCTCCTGAAAATTCAGAACCAGGAACGGAGCTTGTCCATGCCCTGCCCAGATCCCCTGCACTCACTTCCCCCACACACTGAGCTTGTGCTGGGCCTTTCACTAAACTGAAGCTCTCTTTCTGCTTGAGGCCTTCGCCCATGCTGTTCCCCGTGGCTGGTACATTCTCCTTCCACCTCTCCCACACTCATCCTCTTTGTTGGTCCAGCTCCTCCCCTTTCAGCTGAGTGGTTGGACAGCAAGCAGCTCATCCTGTGTTTATTTTGGCTGTTCATTCTATTTAGCACCTTGCTACTCAAGGGTGGGCCCCAGATCAGTAACACGATATCACCTGGAAGCTTGTTAAGAAGAAGTGTGAATATGAAGCTTTTACGCTGACATGATTAATATTAGCATATTAGTATTAATCCTGGACAGTCTCTTCTCAGTGCAACATGGTGGCCAGCCTCTCTGACCCTCTGGCTGCTGCTCAGGTAGAGGAACTCAGGGGTGCCCTCTGCTGGTCGGTGCTCCCCATTGCCTGGTTGTCCCTGATGAGGTGGTGGAGGAGCTTTATCAGCTGGGCCCAGAAGGCAGGCCCACCCTGGCTGGTGACTCCTGGGCTCATTGTCCCAAACCAAACTCACACTCACTGCCAAAGGAGTTTTAAGCAGGTCTTTCCTAATGAATCAGGTAGGGGACCCACAGCTGTCCAAATGAACGCACCTGTGTTTGTGAATTTGCAGGAGGATACTGGGTCAGGAGAGTGGGCCACAGGAGCCAGCCTGGTGGCGTTCACGCACTCCACTTCAGCAGCCCGGGGTTCGCTGATTTGGATCCCAGGCACGGACATACACACTGCTTATCCAGCCATGCTGTGGCCAGCATCCCACATATAAAATAGAGGAAGATGGGCCCAGATACTAGTTCAGGGCCAATCTTCCTCAGCAGAAAGAGGAGGATTGGAGGCAGATGTTAGCTCAGGCTAATCTTCAAAATAAAAGGAGAGTGGGCTACAAGAACAGGAAGTTAAACTCCAGCTTCAGAGTGAGGCACCAGATATGACAGTTAACAAATTTTATCATGAGATCTGAGACCCAAATGTTGAAATTCCAAAGAAGATTATCAAGACAGTGTAGGGGGTTACCAGGGGCTAGAAATGGGGAGCGATGGCTTCATGAGAGCAGGTTTCCTTTGGGGTGATGAAAATGTTTGAGACTCGATATGGGTGGTGGTTGTACAACGCTTTGAATGTACTAAATGCCACTGAATTGTACAGTTCACGCTAATTGTGTTATGTGAATTCACCTTTACAAAAATTAGGGGGAAAAAAGTTTAGATGGCTCTAAATCTCAAAAGGAAGATGCGGAGTGTTGGAGAGAGCAAAGATGCTGAGAGGTTTTCATTGGGAGAGTTGCTGCCACGCCATGAGTCAGCCCTCACCACACAGACTTGGGGAGGGACGGGCCACCTTTAACCCCAAGCTGGCTGATAGGAGATGCCTTGAGGACACCTGTGTCCCCTCCTGCTGAGGAGCAAGAGCACTGACTCCTGAGGAATCGGAAAAGTTACAGTGGGCGCCTACCTTCCTGGAATTTTGGCAGAGGTAGGATGTTGCAGGCTGTGTGTGTGTGTTTGTGTATTAGAGAGGGAGAGAGAGAAAGAGGGAGAGAGACAAAGGATGGGAATGGAGGGGTTGGGAGAGGAAAAAGTGCCTTCCCTGCCTGGGGCTACGGGCAGTGTGTCCTGCAGGCAGAAGGGAGGCAGTGGCTTCCAGGGAACAGAAAAATGCATTTCCAACTTGTGCAGGGACCCCTTGGGCAAGTGTAAGAGGGTGCTGGTTTGCTAGAAAGTAGGAAGGAAGGGGGACAGTGAGGATAATTCTAGAAGTCAGTGACTGGGACTGAGCAGTAAGAAAGCCTAGAATGCTGACTCCAAACTTCCATTCACCTTACTTCAGCTAAGTACTTTGTAGAATTTGATGATGAAGTTTAATTTGAACTTGGTAAAAATTTAAAGACATTAAGGTTTCCTTTATGTAACAGTGTACTGGTTAAACTAAAGTTGGTTTTTGTTTTGCCCCGTGCACGCTCTGCCTGGTGCGCGAACGTGTGCCCATGTGAGTGCGTGGGTACGTGAGGAAGGTCTGGCAGGTGTGCTCCCTCCACCTGCTCCAGCTGCCCTCCTTCCTCCTCCTCTTTTCCTTCTCGAACTCTTCTTGTTTTTTTTTTTTTTTTCTTTAATTTAGGTAAAACATAAATAACAGGGGGCCAGCCCTGTGGACAAGTAGTTAAGTTTGCATGCTCCGCTTTGGTGGCTCAGGGTTTTTTTGCTCGTTCGGATCCTGGGTGCGGACCCAGCACTGCTCACAAAGCCATGCTGAGGTGGCGTCCCACACAGCAGAACTAGAAGGACCCACAATAAGAATATGCAACTACGGGTTATGTGTGTGTATATATATACATAGATTATATGTATATATATAAAGGTTAGCTCAGGTGCCAACCTTTAAAAAAATGTGCTTTAAAAAATGTAAATAACATAAAATTTACCACCTTAACAAGTTTTAAATGTACAGTTCAGTAGCATTAACTATACTCACAATGTTGTCTAACTATCACCACTATCTATTTCCAGGAGTTTGTCAACACTCTAAACAGAAACTCTGTACCCATTAAGCAACAACTCCCCATTCCTTCCTCCTCCTAGCCCCTGGCAACTACTTTTCCACTTTCTGCCTATTCTAGGTACCTCACTGAAGTGGAAGCATACACTATTTGTCCTCTTGCACCTGGCTTATTTCATTTAGCCTGTTTTCAAGGTTCATCCATGTTGTAGCATGTGTCAGAATTTCATTAACTTGTGAAGGCTCAATAATATCCCGTTGTATGTATATGCTACATTTTGTTTATCCATTCATCTGTTGATGGACATTTGGGTTATTTCTACCTTTTGACAAGAGTTAATTTGTTTTTAAAACCGTCTAGGAAAAAACAATATTTAACCTAAAGTGAGGACATAGTGAATTTTTAATTGGGAGTCATTATGGGGAGGAGGTCATGAGTAACTTTTTTGCATGTATTATAAACTAGGCCATTACTTTCTGAAAGAAATCAGTGTGAAAATTCTCATATTTGTACACCAGGGATAACCTAATTTAGATTTTGCTAAATATGAGTCTTGTTATAAGAAGATTATTTTAGGAACAACTATGAAGGAAATATAGACTTGTGAGCAGGTGGCAGACTGGGGTTTTAAAACCAGCAGCTGACTGGACACAATGATGAGACATCTACTTTGAGTATTAGAGGAAATTAAATTGGGTGCTGCCACTGCAGGTCAAGTCACCTAAAGCTAAGGTTAGAGAAGGACCACAGGGGAGAGCAGAACCTAAGGGTTCCTCTTGGCAGCCAACGTCTACCCTCTGGGGAATCTTAACTCAGTGGGGCCAGGGCAGCCAGGGAAGAAGGGCAACTGTTGCTTGAATCAGCTGCCCAGTGAGGTAGAGAAGTGCCCATGGCTTGTGTGCCTAGGAAACAGGAGCCTGGAGCACCCTGATGGGGTGCTGGGACAGAGGCCTACTAGGAGAAGCCCAGGGGCTCCGGGGAGCGAGGCTGGGTAGGAAGGTTTGGGCCAGGGGAGCTCTCACCATGGGGCATTCTGAGAGGTGGGAGGAGAAGAGGAGGTGGTTTGTAAGTTGGATGCAACATGGGCGTTCCCTTTCCCCCAGCCACTGCAGACATGAGTGGCTTCTCCTTGGAAGCACCAGCGGGCAGCCTGGAGCCTTGATGAAGACGTTGGGTAACCTGGGGATCTTTGAACTTGAACTTCAGTTGTTGAACATGAACTCTAGTTGGATATGAGGGACTCTAGAGTGGGGAGGGGAAGCTGAAATTGTAGCCCACACCTGCCTGATGAGACACAGACAGAAGGGTGAGCAGGAGGACAAACCTGCCGGAGGCTCTAGGCTGCCTGCCCACGGCACACACTCCTTTTGTCTGGGGAGATCACACAAGCCACCCCTTCTCTCCTACTGCTCCCTATGCAGCCTGCCCCTCATTGTCTTTCTCATTGCACACTTTCAAACTGCTACCTTGTGGGTTTCTTTTGCTTTTTATTTTTGCTGAGGAAGATTCATCCTGAGGTAACATCCACTGCTAATCCTCCTTTTTTTTTTTGCTTGAGGAAGACCAGCTTTGAGCTAATATCCATGCCAGTCTTCCTCTATTTTGTATGTGGGATGCCTCCACAGCATGGCTAATGAGTGGAGTAGGTCTGCAGCTGGGATCCAAACCTGTGAACTCGGGCTGCTGAAGCGGAGCACACAGCACTTTAACCACTTGGCTACGGGCCCAGCCTCTTGTTTGTTTTCAACCAAATAGCTTGATTTGCATTCCCTGCAGTTGGAGAGGTTCAGTGGACTCACACCAGAGAAATCTAGAGGGTGGGCATAGGTCCTAAGCCGGCTACGGCCTTGGGGTTGGCCTGCCCTCCCAGAGTTCACCAGGAAAGAGGATGCACATGTGTTTTCTGAGGACAGATTTGGGACACGCATTCACACGCAAGAGGTTGGCATGGAACTGTTCTCAATCCTGCCCAAGAAGACGGTCTTGGTGGAATGCCTACTAGACACCAGGTTTGGGGAGGAGTAATGGGAGGAAAACCTGCATCACAGGAGCTATGGTCCAACATTCCAGGTGGGGGCCTCAGAAGAACCCATGGAAGCACCCAGGAGAGAAAGTCCACTTGAGACAATGGACTGCCAGGGCCAGAGAGCATGGAGCCATGTTGTAGCCTCCACCCAACACAGACACACACACACGCACAACAGATGTGTGCACACACAGAGGTGGGTCAGAAACCCTCCTAAGCTGCTTGGGGAGGAGAGATGCGTCAGCTTCCCCAGATGGTGCCCAGCAGGGTCCAGCCGGGGAAGAGAGACTTTAATTCTAACTCAAGTTGGGAGTTTTGATTATTATTAGGGACTGGACACTTTTACTTGAGTGGAGGCTGGATTTTCAAGGAAAAGTGAGCATCACAGAATGTATAATCACCTAAAAGTGACCAGAACAGTCAAGGGATTACCTGAGTTCTCATCTTTAGCATAGGGGAAGGAATCGCCTCCAGAAAGCAGGCTTAAAAGGGGCAGTGAGAGACAAAGCTGGGTCCTGGCATTTATAGCAGCACTGTTCATAAGAGATAGAAACTACGTTTAACTAGTTATGAATGCTTGTTCAACAAACTGCTTACTGTAGGATTAGAAAATAGTAGGCAGTTTTTTAGTCCAGCCCCATCCACCCAATGGTCAGTTGAAGTTCTGGACTTGGCCTATCTAATGATTGGCCAGAACAATCAATTGGGATACAAAATGCATTGGTTTGTAGTTAGAACACTCTGCCTTCTTCATACATGTCCTCACCCTATAGTGTGTGTGCCCATTATCACTGGAGGCCTTTGTGGGGTGCGAGCAGAGGCAGAAGCTGCTCTCAGGGAAGAGGAGTGGCTGAGGGGGCTGGAGCCTAATCTCCAGAAGAAGAGGGCAGTGGGTTCTCAGGTTAGGTGTGAACTAGATCTAGAAAAAGCAACTCAAGAGTGAATCCCCATGACAGGTCAGAACCAGGGGCAATGGTTCAGCCTGGACCTGGGCTTTTTGCACCTATGCAAGAACAAAAACCAAACCAAAACAAGAGGCTTAAGGTCCTGCCAGGCACGGGGAAAAAGCACTTAGAGAGTAAGGTCTTGGCATGGGGGTTGGGTGTGTGTTGCTGGTGAGGGTGGGAGAAGAGCAGCCTGATGGCTGCAGGAGTGGCAGCATGAGGTGGGGATGCCGTGGCTTCTGCCAGGTGCTCAGCCTGGACCATCCTGAGCTCTTGGGGGCAGAACAGATTCTGGGGGAGGTGCTAGGATTACCTGTGAGGCCATTGCTTGGGTTCTGCAGGCAGCACTCAGCCAAGGAAAACTGCATTGTGAGAACTCTCAGCACCCCTCCCCCATGCTGGGCTTTGATTTTACACCCCGACGGCGCCAAGGGCTGGTGGCTCAGGGAAGTACTGTAATAATATGAAAGTGAGTCTGTAGATTTCTTGTTTAAACAAACCTAGTGGAGATGCTACAGGTTCTCCCCAGGGCACCTGTAGTAGCATTCTCAAGAAGATGTGTTCTGGCTGGGGCTTGGAGGAGCTGTGGCTTCTCAGGCCCTGAACCTAAATGCTCTGGGAAGATGCCTGGATGACACAGGCCCAGGCCTAAAGAGAATCACACTCCTCATTCCTAGGTGCACTCCATCCTGCCCTAATTTCCTTGCAGACCCAGGTTTCTAGACAACTATCACTTTCTGTTTGCTTTCTGACTAACAACTTCCCACAAGACATGTAAACAGTCACACAGCATTTGAAAGCTGAAAGGGGGGTTAGATGTATTAACTCTCTCATTTTATAGGTAAGCTGGCCCAAAGTGGTTAATGTCCCAGAAAGAAAGAGAAGAACTAGGAGTCGACTTCATGTACCGGGGTTCTTTTCTCTGAGCCTTCCTCACAGCCCCCTTCTGGGTTAGGAGGGGAGCCTAGGTGGCACCATTTGAAAGCTCTGAGCTGCGCTTGTGGCAGAGCCCACTTTTTGATACGGCCTCTCAGGAAGCCTTCTGGGGAGGCAACTGGCCCCTACTGCCCTGGTGGCGCTTCGCTGACTTAGAACGAGACTCCTTAGCACCTTCCCCTCCTCAACTTTGGGCCTTAGCTGTAATATCCAGGCCACAGGATTATGTGCTTTACGTACATTATCACATTTATTAACTCATGGTTTTCAGAGTGGTTTTCCAGGTTATATACATTGATTCCATGTATGATGACAAATGGCCTGAGGCTTCAATCCTGAAAACTTGAGGGTGGGTGGAGGAAAATCCACCAAAGGCTAGTGGCCTTTCTTCACAGCCTACAAAGCAAGCCCCTGGGGCAGTTGGAATAGGCTAAGAGGAGGCTCTGGACCCGAGGTGCCTGTGTCTGCCAGGAGTCTCTGGGCACACCCAATGAGTACCCAACCAGACATCCTCTCCACAAAGCCCACGACAGGCTCTTGCCCCATCATGCTGTGCTCCTAAAGAAAGGCCACATTTCATTCTCACAGCCCATTTCCCTCGTTGATGCTTTTAGATTGAGGCTCCCCACACCCCTCAGGGAAGATGCTGCATAGCTCCCTGCACATCTCCAGATGGGAAAGAAATGACCATCTGTTGCTTGTTTTACTATAAGTCAAACAGAAGTTATTTATTTTCTAAAAGTATAAAAACACATACAAAAAGGGACTCATTCTCAGCTAGAATTAAGAGATAATATCACTGTAACAAGCATCCTGGAGGGCAAAGCCACTGTGGTGAAAGTATTGCTCCCAAATCATTACTAATCTTAATCACCATTTTGCCTCGGGTTCTTTAGAAGGTTACTACTTCTAAATTACACGTGGACAACGAATTAAGCTTTATTAAACCAGACTCATAAAAGTAAGAATTGTGATTCTCCAGGTTGCTAAAATATAATTCTCAGGCTCTGAGGAAAATAATCTTACGTCAGTCCCAGGGAACTTTTCTCCCCAGCAGTTGATTGGCCACTTTCTGTGGAAGAAAAGAAAGGCAGGAAAGAAGTCAGACACTCTCCCCACCAGAGGCAGACAGCCACTCCTCACCCACAACGTGTTGCTCAAGACACCAGTGTGGTGGTGTTTATCTTCCCCAGCTACAGAAACTATGGTAATTATACAAAAAATACTTCTTGAAGTGTTTAGGAAAGATGATCTACAAGCAATATCTATTGTTTCTATACAGATACAGATAATCTATAATCCTGATAGACCAATCCATCCATCAGTTCACAAACACATAAGCATAATAAGAAGCCTGGTCTTGTGATGCTGACACACCAGACAGTCCAAGCAGAGCCTGGGAGGGAGCCCGGCCCAAGCTCTGTGGTATGCTCCAGAAGCAGCTCTCCAATCCCACATGAGTTTAGTAGGAACTGTCTTTTGGTTTCTGACTTTCAGAGTCCTCTTGAAGTGAGGGGGTGGGAAGAAAACAAGAACAGTGAAGATAGGCACAGAAGCCACTGAGAAATAATGCTCAAGGAATTAACTGGCAGCAAGTCCCCTGGCCTGTGAGGGTCTGGGGCTTGCAGCACCACTGAGTCCATGGGGGCCATGGGGAGGAAATGGTGGTCGCTTTGAGGCTCTGACCCCCCAGGGTGCCAACTCTCATGTTACACTTGGACATTTTCTAGTTTATTTTAAAAGTGCCAAAAGTATATGACTTACCCATAAGGGGCATAAAATTACCATCTGGGACTCTGGAATGAAAGCCCAACAATTTTGATAGATTTGGTCATTTCCACCATGCCATCTACACTGAGTCCTGAGTCTGAAATTTGCTTTCATTCCAAATGTATACCTGGAAGATGCCTTCCTTAGATTTGCTGTTTTAGATTTTTAGATTTGAAATCTAGTGACAGGTGCCCTTACCTTCCAAATTTTAGCAGTGGTCCAATGTATTACAAGCTTAAGTTCGCTCCCTAAATGTCATTAATTCAAACAGGTCAGATGTGTTTCTCTCAATTTCTCTTTCCCCTGATAAACCTGATCAATCCCGCTCTAGGATTGACTGACCTTTTTAAATAGCTGGGCTCGCAGCCGGTATGATTTATATTCCAGTCTCCTCTTTTCCTCTTCTCTCTTTTTCTGTACTTCTGGAAGCTGCTCATAAATCCTTAGAAATGGCACCAGTGGAAAGACAAGCAGCAGTGAGGTTATCAGGCTACAAAGGCACACGATCTCTTCTCACCACATCTCCCTGTGAGGGGACTGAATGCCCCTCACAGCCAAGCCCTGGGCTGTGTCGTGCTCAGCTTCCTGTTAGACACTTGGACAAAAAAACCCCTGGCCTGGGGTGCTCATGTCTGAACGAGGAGACAGATAAATGACAACATCATAAAATCGTGCAAAGAGGGGTTACTTCTAAGAAAGGGGTGGACAGGGGGTGAGGACGAACTGCTTTTCACTCCATGTGCAGAAACGCATAGTTTTGATGGAAGATAATGAACACGCATTACTACTATGCTTTTAAACACGAGGGAAATAATGGGAAAGAAAAGTATAGTCATAGTTATAGCTACAAAGTACTACACAGAGTTACAGGAAAAGAAGAAACTTATTCTGACTGAAGGAGTTCAGGGAAGACCAGAGAAGAGATGAAGCTTGAAGTGGGTCTGGAAGAATAGTTAGGAGCAGAAAAGGGATAGAAGGAGAAGGGAGTCCTGGTAAGAATGGCGCCCAGGCTTCACAGAGAGAACTGTAGGGGAGCAGGTGGGACACAGACTGGGTGAAGAGAGGTCGGCTGGGGAAGGTCTTGTAGCCATGTGAAAACCTTGGGCTCTGTCCTATCAGGGATTGGGTGCCACTGATTTTAAATAGGGAGGAATATGATCAAACATGCATTTGATAAATACACCGTACTTGGAAACAATCTAAATTTCCAACAAAAAAACAGTTAAACAAATTATGGAATATAACGGAATTATTATAAAGCCCCCCAAAAAAAGATGTTTCAAAGAATTTTCAATGATATGGGAAAATGTTCACAATATAACGTTGAGCAAAATAAAGCAGGTTACAGACCTGTATATACAGTACGATCAAGAATTTGGGGGAAAAAAGGTGTGTGTTAATACAGGTCTCTGCAAAACCCTCACTCCTGCCAGAAACAGGACTAGTGTTAGTTATGTTTAGATAGAAAGACTATCAGTGATATTTATTTTCTTCTTTCTAGTTTTCTCTATATTTGCCAAAGTTTTCTAAAATCTGAAAAAAAAAATCATTGAAAATGATGTAGAGGCTCTGTGGAGCATAGATTAGAGAAGATACAAAGCAGAAGCAGGGAGAACAGCAGTTCTCTGTGACTGGAGTCTAGCCCTCTTCAAGGCAGTGAGGAGAGTGGGTTCCAGAGCAATCAGGAAGCCAAGTCTCCAGGACGTGCCAGCTGGTTGCATGTGCAGTGATGGGTAACATGGCTGGAGGTGATCACTCCCCGCTTTCTAGCCTGGTGAGAGGATGGCTCCAGCAAGTGTGAGAGTGGAAAATGGGGAGTTCCATTTTGGACACAGAGGAGATGATCACTAACTGAAAACACAAAAGTGAAGGTCAGGAGAGAGACCAAAGAGAAACAAACATGCATTTTTAAAAGTCACTGTTGATGAAACTCACAATGAGATATCACCTTGCATCTGTTAGAATGGCTACTGCCCAAAAAAAAAGAAAAAGAGAGAGATAACAAATGCTGGCAAGGATATGTATGGAGAAAAGGGAACCCTTGTGCACTGTTGGTAGGAATGTAAACTGGTACAGTGTCTATAGAAAACAGCATAGAGGTTCCTTAAAAAATTGAAAATAGAATTACGATATGATTCAGCAATTCTACTTCTGGGTACATATCTGAAGGAAATGAAATTATTGTCTTGAATTGATATCAGCACCCCCATGTTCACTGCAGTATTATTCACAATAGTGAAGACATGGAAACAACCTAAGTGTCCATCAACGGATGAATGGATAAAGAAAATGTGGTATAAATAGATAGAAACAGATATATAGGTAGATAGATATAAAGAAAATGTAATACACACAGACACAATGGCATATTATTCAGCCATTAAAAAGGATATCTTGGCCAGCCCTGGTGGCCTAGTGGTTAAGTTTGGCATATTCTGCTTTGGCAACCTGGATTCAGTTCCCCAGCGCAGACCTACACCACTCGTCTATCAGTGGCCATGCTGTGGCAGCAGCTCACATACAAAATAGAGGAAGATTGGCAACAGCTGTTAGCTCAGGGTGAATCTTCCTCAGCGAAAAAGAAAAAGGATATCCTTCCATTTGCAACAACATGGATGGACCCTGAGGGCATTATGCTAAGTGAAGTAAGTCAGACAGAGAAAATCAAAACCGTATGATCTCACTTATATGTGGAATCTAAAAACATCAAATTCACAGAAACAGAGAATAGAATGGTAGTAGCCAGGGGCTGAGAGATAGGAGAATGAGATGTTGGTCAAAGGGTACGAACTTCCAGTTATAAGATGAATAAGTTGTGGGGATCTAAGGTACAGCATGGTGACTCTAGTTAACAATACTATGTTGTATACTTGAAAGTTGCTATGAGAGTATAACTTTAATGTTCTTACCATAACAACAACAACAACAAAATCATAATCAAGTAAGGTAAAGATGTGTTAACTAATCTTATCGTGGTAAACATTTTGCAATGTACACGGGTATCAAATCATCACTTTATACACCTTAAACTTACACAATGTTATATGTCAATTATATCTCAGTAAAAGCTTGGGGAAAAAAAAATCACCATTAAAGAAGGGATAACAAAAGCCACTGGAAAAGAAGAGTTATCCAAAGGGGAACATGCGGCATGAAGAGAAAATCTGCTTGGACCAGGAAGATTATATTCTAGGGCTGGAAAGCTGGGAGCCAGTCTAATCAGAATAACCTAAAATCACATTTTGTAAATAGCTCCTTGGAAGCAATTACTACATATTATTGCAGACAAAGACAGTACATATTATTGGAACTGTCTGTCCATTCGTTCACAATCTGGAGTCAATTATACATATAAAATAAATGTTTTCTAAAACAAAAATACTTTAGTAAGAAGAGTGGCACTGTTCACATATTTTGCAAATCTCTTTAACGTCTGGTTTAATGGAAGACAGCTGGATTCTTTCATCTGCTTCTGTATTGTCTGTTGTTATATGTTTGTTCTGGTTAAAGTATACATTTAAAAGAATCCAGTTTACACACATATGTAATTGGAAAAGGGAGGAGTATATCAAGATTCTTTTCAGATAAGTGCTGATTTTCTTGATACTACACCAAAACAAGTGGTAGTTTTTAAAAAATTAGTTACAGTGTGGAATCTGAAACCATATCAGTGAAGTTTTCTAATCTATTACACAAACAAAGTACATCAGTCTACCTTGAACTTTGAATAAATATTCTATCCATGTCTGATTTTGTAATACCATGCAACAGTCATTTGGAAAATCCTGGTCCAGTGAATTAGGCAGATCTTCCAAATGCTGACATATTTACTTATATAATATGAAAAACATCACATTTGTTAATGTCAGCACTGATCTCATCAGAAAAGTCTAAGTACTGGGAGGTAATCAAGCTCATACTGGTAGACACAAGTTTTCTAGAATTCTATTCCTTGCTTGAAAACTCAAAATTTCTCTTTGGCAATAAATACTGTCAGCTGTTTTCCTTGACGTGATAGAGTCACTTCTTTATTTTCAAGAAAATGTCTATCATAAACCCAAGTCGGAATAATCAGTTTATCTGTCATTCCTTCAAGTAAAAACTGTGTTGCATGAAAAAGGCAGCCAGGTCAGCTTGCTACACAAACCATGCTGTAAGTGCCTTTCCTTGAACCAATCATCTATCTTGGAATGCAGTGGAAGTGCTTTATGTGTACTTCCACGATGCTGCTGGCATGTGGCTGTGAAGAATACAACACCTCCTAGACCAGCAGAGTTTGGTGCCACTGTCTCAGATAGTGCTAAGGTATCAGCAGTGTTACTACTCCTCCCATTACTTTTGCATCATCAGTGCAAATGTCAACACAGTGAAAAAGGGACCTAATATCCTAGTTACATTTTGAAATTTGTTTTGACCTGGCAAATCCCCCGAGAGGGTCTCGGCAACTTCCAGAGGTCCATGGACCGTACTTTGAGAACCACTTGACTAAAGCATCCCTTTGAACTTCCTATAAGGAAAGGGTTTACTAAATGGAGAGTAAAAACAAGATTTCAAGAGGAATGCTTTAATTACCTAAGATAAATTGTTTTCAAGCACTACGCTGACTATAAAACTGTTCTCATTAAGGGAGGTCTCTAATGAGCCCCTAAAAGGTAACCTTTAACTTAGTTATTCCATGGCATTCTCATGATCAATATATGCTTATCTCTAATTAATGAATAGCTAATACACGCAAAGGCACAAAATTTAAAAAGGTGAAAAATTAGTCTTTCTCCTACATCTGTATCCCAGTCACTCAGTTCTTCTTCCCAAAGGCAACCACTATAACCAGTTTTTTGGGTATCCTTCTAGAGATATTTTATACATATAAAACTATATGCATCTATAAAAGCACAAATACTTCTTTTTAAAGACTACAAGTGGTAGCAGTGTACACACGCTTCTGAAACCTGATTTTTTTTTTTAAAGCTTAACTTAATGTGTCTTGAAGAGTACTTCATTATTTCTAACTGTATTGGATAAATTTCTAGAAATGGGATTGTCTAGATAAAGGGTAAGACCCCAAATAAATACTTAATTTTATTTCAAAATATTCTTTATTTATATTTAGGTTTCTAATAAAGATGAGCCTGCCTAAGGTGTGCAAATTAGAGGGGATTCTTTGTATCTTTTGTGTATAAGTCATCCATACCATGCTATCTATTTTTCTTTTCTTCTTTAGAGTCATAAGTGAGAAACTACTTTCACAACTCATTTTCTCATAATGTTTTAACTTGAGCATAATGCCTTTATTCTGGGGGCAAGCCAGAGCTCTTGACCACTTGGTGACCTGATTTATACTTTTGTAATTACTCTTATTCTTCTGGCCTTACCGTTTAGACCTCTGAATCATTTCCTTCTTTCCAATAGGCCTGTTCTTCTGAGCAGCCATGAAGCCTAAGCAAGAGAAGAAGGGGTCTTCAGTGGATAGCAACTTAATAAGGAGGAGTGTGTTGCTCAAGAGCTGTGAGAGCTTGGTGCCCCTACCCTGAGCTGGCCGTGCTGGGTAGCGAGCAGTGGCCGAGGCCAAGGCCAGTGTTAGACTATGGTGACTGTGACAGCACCCTAAGGCTCATGAAGACACAACACACTGTGGCATAGACGAGACAGTGTGAATTGAAACACTGACCAGTTTATAGGTAAGGCTGTGATGAAAGCATTAGGTAATACTTTATAGTTTTCACAGCTTTCGTAGATTTTATTGAGAACTTACACCTGGCATAATTGTAAAGCACACACACTCTGGAGCCAGCCCACCTTGGTTCAAATCCCAGCTTATTAGATGTGTAATCTTGGGCAAGGTATTTAATCTCTCTTTGCCTCAATTCTCTCATCTGTAAAACAGGCATAAGAACAGTATCTACCTCAGAGAGGTGCTGTAACCATTAAACGAGAACAGTGCCTGGGCAAAACAAAAGGGCTATATAAGTGTTTTATTATTATTATTATCATCATTATTGCCACCCTATGAGGTAGACAAGCCTGGAATCAGCCACATTTTTAAAAGAAAATCATGATTACTTGCGCAACTAACTTGCTCACGGCCACAGAGCTGGTTTATAAAAACACTACTCTCATTGCACACTCTCATCTTTAAGACGTAGGGACAGGGCAAGAGTAACTGGCCTTCTTTGGATCACGAAAGTGCTGAGAGCTAAACTGGCCAGGTTCTGCTATCCAAGGAGACTGACACTCAGCAAGCCAAAAGTCACTTTCTGTCCATGTAACCGGCCTGACATTGAGCAATGCTCCCTGGCATGAAGCAGACCTTGCCCTCTCTAGCCAGTGACAGGAAAGTGAACAGGCAGAGTGTACCTCTCTTAGGGAGCGGGCACATGGGGTCCCGGTAGCCCTGCCGTTCCCTCACAGCGTTGAACAGTGCCTCCCGCTCACTCTGTAACATGTTCTGCAGCTTCCTCTCCTGGACTATTAACTTCAGGCGCTTTATCCGCTCCCTAGAGCGGGAGATGAAGTCAGGTCTGTGAAGCTGAAGTGACTCCTGAGGAGAAGAAAACGCCCCCGATCTCACATTAATGATGCAGTCTGTTCTCCAAGGGCCTAGAAAAACAGTATCTGCCCAACGGACCTGGAAAGCCTGTTTCTAAAGTGCAGAATGTATCTAGAGTTAAAGAATAATCTAACAACTCTCTGTGGGGGAGAGCTCCAGTAGGGAAATCAAAGGGATCAAAGAAATGCCTTTGGAATAAGCCAAGAACTAAGATTGCAGCAATTACAACTCCCCTAAACATTGATGGGACAGAGCTCGGCCCATTGTGCTATTTTAAATTTCCCTTCAAACAAATACCTCATTAAATAACATTTCCTTTAGCTCCCAAGGTACATATAAAGAAGAGACTTAGTGTCTTTTAAACTCTGGGTCAAGCAGGAATAGGAGTCATGTAAACAGAGGAAGAAATATGAGGCTGACACACATCAGGCCTCTGGAGCACTCCACATGTGCATATCTACAAACCCAATGAGCAGTGTTACAGCATCCTCCCTTCTCCTGCCTTGTGCCCAGACACTGAGGGTGATGCGTGATTTAGAATGGTTAACAGTAAGGCAGCCTTTGAGTAACGATGAGAGTGAGAACAGATGAACTGCGGAGATGCTAGAAAGGCGGGTGGTGTGATTGTCCTTTGGAGGCCAAGTCATAGATCTAACTTCTTTGTATCTCGCCCTTTCTTCCCTCTTAAATATATGGCTAAAGTTAACTCAATGTCATTGTACCTGTAGGGTTGCTCTCACAAATGGCCTCAGCGGATCTCTGCCTGAGCCTGCTAGTGACCCATGGTTGTCCATGTGCTGTCCCTGCCAGTTCTGTTCTCGTAATGGCTCCCTCCAGGGTTTGGTGCTGGTTATTGGTGCAAACCAGGAGATACCAGGGCCACGAAGCTTGGGCAGGTTTTCCTTCTTAGGACAAGACTTCACATTTTCCACAGGAACAAACCATGAAACTCCTGTAGGAAATATTTTTAAGAAAGACAAAATATTTTTCATTTTTCTCCCCAGAGATGTGCATAGCATGGGTTCTCAGGGGACTGGGCTGTCAGGAAGGCACCAGGATGCCCTGGAGACTGCTTAACCACAGGCATGACCCTAATTATAGTTCCAGATACTGCGAAAATTTGCCCAGGTGGCGCTGGGGCCCGAGGGTCAACACAGAGTCATCTAGAAACAAAGAATCTCAGCATTGCAAGAGACTTCAAATTCACTGGTTTTTCTGTTACAGAACAGGGAATTAGAAACCGACCTTCACGGCAACTCTGCTCGTTCTTCCTTAACCTTTTGTCCCCAAGATAATTGGTAAGGAGCCTTTTCTCTTCTATGTTTTCTTCTGACCAAGAAGTCACATCACTGTCCTCTTCTCTAGCCTCGGTAGAACTTGGAGTTGGAAAAGTCATCCCAACATCTCGAGTGTGTTTTCTGACACCATTCACAATCTCCAAGTTACCTAAGGGGAGAGAGCACAGATGTCTCTGAGAGCAGCCTTGAGGCTTATTTGCAGGTGTATTGAAGACAGTAAATGAAAAGTTTTAAGGCTTCAAAACCACAGGCTACTGCCTTCTCTGGGTGGGGTGGAGGGGTGTGATGGGGGGGGAGAGAGAGAGAGAGAGGGAGAAGGAGAAAGGAAGAGAGTTTTTATTCCTAAGTTGGTTTAGATATTAGAGGGAAAGAACTACTAAAATAGGTTCAATGGGTAAAGGATTTTAGTTCTGATCCTAAGTGAGAAAGACAGTGGATGCATATAGTCCTACTGGCAGTCACCCAGGTAAGGAGGAGGCTGACAGATGTAAAGATAAGACTTGAGGAGAAAAAAATTAAGGGGGAAGTTTATTTTTATTTTATAAAATCAAAAGATATAGAAAAGCATAAAGTGAAAAGCCTCCTCCCCACTCCTACTTTCCACTCAGCTTATAACCCCATGATTCCAGCTAATATTTTCTGCACATTCAAGCAATTCTCTTCATTTTTTAAATACATGTAGTAGCATGCTATACATTATACATTGTTCTGTATCTTGATTTTTCCTTCTAATTATATCTCTTGGAGATCTTGCCATATCAGCAGAGAGAGAGAGAGCTTCCTTATCCTAAGTAGGATTTCATTATATGGATGTACAATAATTTATTTAACTGCTTGGCTACTGAAGGATAACTAAGTAGATTTTAATTTTCTGCTATAATAAACAATAGTTCAATGGTTAATTATATACACTTGTCATTTTGCACATATGCACAGTACATACATCTATAAGCTAAATTCCAAAAGTGAAAGTGCTGGGTCAAAATAATTTTGATAAAACTGCCAAATTGCCTGTCATAAGGGTTGTACTCCCAACTCATACTCCCACTAGAATGTATGAGAGAACCCTTAAACTCTTGCCCACAAACTTGCTATCAAACTTAGATTTTTGCCCGTCTGATAGGTGAAAAACGGCACTTGAGTACAGTTTTAATCTTCATGTCTTTTATTATAAGGGAGGTTGAGTATCTTATATGTTTAAGAGCTACTTGTATTTCAATGGAAATGTTTAAATTCAAATAATTTACCTGCTTGTATACCCTTGTTTAACATATGCACATTTTGCTTGTTGCAAAGGGTAGAGGTCGAGCTCCAGAAACTACTGGTAGAAGATGAAATAGAGTCAGAAGAAATCATATGGTTTGCCACCTGGAAAAACAAGAGAGACCCTGTTATTACCTGCAGTCAATGGTACTTTTACCCACAGGATAAGAAAACATACAAGTCACCAAGAGCCTTTTCTAATCTAATTCAAATTGTTGAGATGAAGTGACAATGTGAATATGCCACCACATAATTTGTGATAGGGAGGAGAATGCTGTTATAGTTGGATAAGGGCCTGAGCTCTTTCAAGAAGGTACGACAAAAAGATTGGGTATGTTCCCAGGACTTGAAAAAACTCTGAAGAGGATGCTAGCCAATGATTAGTCTGGTGGGTCTTCAGAATGAAATTCTGACTTGACATTTGCCTAAAAAATCGATAAGACATGAAGAGGGCTAGGGAAAACTAAAGAGAATGATGAGCTGCAGAGAGTGCTTTCAAGAAATCCAGACTCAGAGGCTTAGACAAGGATAAATACACAAAGAGCTGAAAGGCCCATGAGAAGTCCTGAATAAGTGGAGAATTGCAAAAAGCATTACAGAGCTGAAAAGGCCTTTTTAGTTATATTCCAAGTAAGTAGAGCAATGAAGGGCAAGTTCATGGATTGAAGCTGATGGTGGAATGTTAGTGGATGACAAAAATATTATCAAAATTTAGTTGAACAAATATAGTATAAAACAGTATTGTTTAAACTTGCTCCCGGGAGAGGGGCCTAACCCAGAACAATGAATTGGAATCTCTAGGGGAGGGGTCTGAGCATCTATATTTTGAATAAATACCAGGTGCTTGTCTACTTAGGCAAGTCTGGAAGAGGTGAATTGAAGCTCAAGTCAGGAAATGAAACTGAGAGTATCTACTCCCCTGAACTAGATAAACTATATTCCAGGGCCTTTAGGAAACTTGCAACAGAATCCTGGAGGAGAGAAGCTTTGTTAGATATCTGGGGACAGACAGTGTTTTAATTTTCAAAAATTAAGCATTGCAAACTGGTGGACTTAACACTGATAACTTCTAAAATTCTAGAATGGATCACCAATCTGATAATTTGCAAGCAGCTGGAGGTCAAAGAAAAGACTAGCAAATTTCAGCCAGGGCTCAGTAAGGCAGGCAGAATAAGCCCTGCCAGGTTAGCCTTGTTTTCCTAGTAGACATGGCACTAAGCGGCAGACCAAAGAATGTGTAGTAGAGTACAACTAGATCTGAATGACAAAACTTCTCATGACATCTTTGAGGGCGAGATGGAGTCACATGGATTGAATGATAATATAAGTTGGTAGAACCCTAACTGGTTGAACCACTCTTACCCAAATATTATCAACATAGAGTGAGGCCTTTACTGAGTGGTATATTTTGCATTCAACAACAAATATTTACCAAGCACCTACTGTGTGCCAGTCACTTGGTTTGCTCTGGCTATTCTCTCTTACCATTTTATGTATCAATGTCTCAGAGATATGGAAAGCAGATTTCCCATACAAGGCACATCTGGGAGGGCATGAATGGCTGTCAGGATCCCAAGTAATAACAGGAATGATGGACCAAATCAAACAACAGATAATTGTAAAGCCCTATACATTAGGCTGAAGGAATGGCAGCAACTTTGAATCAGTAGAAAGTGCTCTGGGTCTGGAGTCCAAAGACCTAAGCCAGTCTCAGATCTTCTCTTTACTAGTGGGCTCTAATTGAGCAAGCCATAGCCTCTCTATGCTAGGTACCCCATCTAGAAAAGGGAACACTTGCACTTCTGAAATTACAGAAGTGTTATAAAAAACAAATGATTTAGATTGTGAATTGTAAAAAAACTAATATAAAACTATGAGACTATTATGATGGTAAAAAGCCAAAACGTATGAGTACAGAAAGGGTGGTGAGGAAGATGTGACTGATTGGCAATACACTGTATCTTCTGCAGCTGAAAAAAAAAGAGAAGAAAGCACTTTAGGTACTGAAATGGACTGAACTTCAAGAGATAGATGACTAAGTCCAAAAAGCAAAATATGCTGCCATTTTTGTGAAAAAAGATAGAAAACATACTGGTATTTGCTTTTTTATGTATAAAATACCTGTGAAAGAAAAGAATCCAGATTGCAAGGGAAGAAGTAAAACTGTTTTTATTTGCAGATGACATGATCCTGTCTGCAGAAAATGCTATGGAATCCATAAAGAAGTACTAGGACTAGTAAATAATTTTAGCCAGATTGCAAAATATAAGATCAATAAGATAAAAGATCAATTGTGCTTCTATTCTAGCAATGAGCAATCTGAAAATAAGGAAACAATTCCATTCACAATAGCATCAAAAAGAATGAAATACTTAGGAATAAATTTAACAACAAAAGTGCAAGGCTTGTACACTGAAAACTACAAACATTGGAGGGAAAAATTAAAGATATAAACCAACAATGAGACATTCCACATATGTAATTTAAAAATGGGCAAACGATTCAACTAGACAGGGGGCTGGCCCCGTGGCCGAGTGGTTAAGTTCGCGCGCTCCGCTGCAGGCGGCCCAGTGTTTCGTTGGTTCGAATCCTGGGTGCGGATGTGGCACTGCTCACCAAACCACGCTGAAGCAGTGTCCCACATGCCGCAACTAGAAGGACCCACAATGAAGAATATACAACTATGTACCGGGGCGCTTTGGGGAGAAAAAGGAAAAAATAAAATCTTTAAAAAAAAAAAAGATTCAACTAGACATTTCACCAAAGAAGATATAAGAATGGCCATAAGTACATGAAAATATGTTCAACATTACTCATTAGTGAAACACAAATTTAAATCACAATGAGATACCACTTCACATCCACTGGGATGACTACAATAAAAAAGATGAACAATAGTAACTGTTGACAAAGAAGCAGAGAAACTAACACCTTCACACATAGCTGGTGGGAATGTAAAATGGTACAGCCACTTTGGAAAGCACTGGAATTTTCTTAAAAATTAAACACAAACTTATCATATGACCCAGCAATTCCACTCCTAGGTATATACTCAAAAGAAAACATATGTCCACACAAAAACTTTTACACAAACGTTCATAGTAGCATTATTCATTTTATCCAAAAAAACCAAAAAAATCTAAATGTCCAACAACTGGAATTGGATAAACAGAATGTGGTATTATCTATACAATGGAATACTAATCAGCAATAAAAAGGAACTACTGATGCATACTACAACATAGATGAACCTTGAAAACATCATGCTAAGCAAAAGCAGTCAGATACAAAAGACTACATATAATTCTATTTACATGAAATGTCCAGAAAAGGCAGAGGTCAGATTAGATGTTGTCTGGGGTTGAGAATGCAGATTGCAAACAGGTACAAGGGACCTTTCTGGAGTGACCAATGTTCTAAAACTGGATTGTGGTGATGATTGCGCAACTCTGTAAATTTATTAAAAAAAAAATGGAATTGCACACTTCAAATGGATGAATTTTATGGTATGTAAATTATACTTCAATAAAGCTGTTTTAAAGATCTCTGGAAAGATACGTAAAACTAGTAACATTGAGAAACTCTGGAATACAGAGATAGGTGTCTGGGGAACAGGAGTGAGAAGGACACTCCTTATCAAATCCTCTTTTCTACATTTTTAGTTTTGTACCATGTGGTTGTACTACCAGTTTAAGAAGTGAGAATAAACAAAACACAAACTTACGAGGAAGAGTGTGGCAATAAAGGTTTAATGACTCTTGCGAGTTCAACAGGAGTAAAACATATGTTAGGCGCTAGAAATGTTCCAGCCATAGAAAGAAAGGTGATAGATCTCCTCTGTTAAAGTGCTTTCATCACCTGAAGCACAACACGCTTAATTCAAAGGGACATGTTTAAAAATAGGATATCGACAAACTTAGACCCAGGAAATTGCCAAGTTAGGAAAGGGGAGTAGAAAGCATGACCCATCAGGAATGGCTCAGAGTGAAGACCTGAGAGAAGAAAACACTTCAGGGAAGGAAGTGGGGAACCGAGAGGTAGAAGCTTAGGTCAATTTTCTCTGCCTCCAGGGAGCAGAACTGGGAACAGAGCCAGGAAATCCAATGCAAGCTGACTTTGGATCTTTGTAAGTTAAAACCTTTGATAATGGGAGGCTTAGACAAATGAAATGAGCTGCTCAGGAGCAGCAGTGAGCGGTAGAGCTGTGGAAGCAAAGCTGGAGCGCCTTGTGGTGCAGATGCAGCTGAAGTGTTGATGGTCCCTTCCAAGCGGAGTCTGCCAACCTCCTGTGCTCCCAAAGGACACAACCTGCCATGGTATGCACCACTAAGTGTGAAAAAACACGTTTCCCTCTGATTAAATGAGGAGCTTTGGTGTATGTGTTTCTATTTCTCGTTCAAATCTCTAAGTTAATTCCTGCCTATAAAAAGGTAAACATTTAAAAATAGAAAACAGTCTAACAATAAATTCACTCTTAGCAAAATATATTTAGTTAGCCCTTCTACGATGGTGAAAATCAAAAGGACAGACAAAAACCAATGTTTTCAAGGATGTGGAAAACCTGGACTCCTCATATACTGCTGGTGGGAATGCAAAATGGTAACAATACTTTGTACACCAGTCTGGTAGTTCCTCACATGGCTAAAAGTAGAGTTATCATATGATCCACCAAATATCCACTCCTAGGCCTATGTCCAAAAGAAATAAAAATATATGTCTACAGAAAAACTTGTACATGAATGTTCACAGCAGCTTTGTTAATAACAGCCAGAAAGTTGAAGAAATCCAAATCTCCATTAACTGATGAACAGATAAAATATGTATATTCATACAATGGAATACTATTTGGCCATAAAAAGGAATGAATATATGCTACAATGTAAATGAACCTTGAAAACATTAAGTAAAAGAAGCCAGTCATAAAAGATCACGTGGTATGATTCCACTTATATGAAACGTCCAGAATAAGCAGATCTACAGAGACAGAAAATAGATGAGTAATCCCAGCCGGGGTCTGGGGCAGGGGTAGGAGGTTGGGGAAAATGAAGAGTGACTGCTAACGTGTACAGGGCATTTTTGGGGGTGTTGAAAATGCTTTAAAATTA